ACCCTATATAAGCCCTACCCTTATAGAAATCGAAAAAATACCGGTATTTATTTCGGTTTTTGATAATATATCGGTTTCGGTATAGCTTTGATGGCATAATACCGGTATTAAAATCATACCGGTTTAAGTCCCTGCCAAAAACTCATGAAACTGTATCACCTGTTTACCCCTTTAACGCTCGTATCGGAACATCAACCGGTTAATTGAACAGGCGAGAGATCGAACACGTCTGTTATCTACAGCGTCAACACGCCAGCAACATTGAAACGGCCGGTCCCAGATAATTGAAGACGCACCGTGTGGCGCCCGTAAAACAGGTTGACGGTCTTATTAACCCGGTGGCGGAGCCAACGTCGCGTCGAAAGGGACCACGCAGAGGCGTCACCGTACGTCATACAGCATACATATTTCCCGGCGCGCCCATCCTGTCCCCTCCAGGATTTCATCCTACGGTCGATTGATTATCCTCGTTACTCTCCCTCCTGTTCCTCTTCTCCGCCTTGGTTACCAAACGCGGGAGGTTATCATCTTTGACGCTACGTGCACCACCCGATAGCGACAACAGGACACTTGAATCATGAAAGCTATGAGTAGATACTAAAAAAATGTTAGAATAGAAATTTAATGGAGGAAAACTTGACACATAGGTGTAAAGATATACAGAGAAATAGGAAATCATAGATTGACCTTTAAGATATGGTTTTACCCTGAAAAATCGAATATCAACAAATATATATTTTTCATCCTTCAACTTCGAGGGCTGTTCACTCCCTTAACATAGACCAGCGTAGGGGCACCTCACGCGCCTGTTTCCCCTTCCAACCTTTCTTTCGCACAGTGTGCCTTTGTAGAAACAAAGAAGCCCAGACTCTTGCCTCTGTCATTCCATAGTAACGGTGGACGATGGTGGGGACAAGTTTTAGCTCCCGGGAGCCAACTTTGCCCACCGCTGACATAAACAATGGTCAATGAAAAAAGACGTCAAATAGTTTTTAGAAAACTTACATGAAAATCGGTATGTTTCTTTGTCGAATTTGTAAAAATTGCAGTTCTCGAATGTTACTATATCGGAACGTCGAATGTAATGGGCTCACAACCATCGTAATTTATTTTTTTTTTTACATGGCAAACGGAGCGTGCGAGATTCTCGTGTTCGACGAGCATCTCGAGAATTTCCTCCTGCATGATTTTCCGGGTCGCGTTTCCATCAAACCGCGTCAGACGTTCAATTATCCGTGACACCGTAACGAGGAAGCGTTGATTTATTGGCGAGCCGATGAAATGTGCGCTATGATAGTACACCCCCCACCCCTTCGTAGGACCTTTCGGGCGCCGCGGTGTTGTTGCGTCCGTTAATTAGAGTGGAACGATTACTTGATCGATCGCGGGCAGCAGACGGTTTCTTGCTCGTTGAGGAACGTAACGCAGCATAGGGGAATGTTAATTAAGCGTAATTGGGTAATATGTATATCCGCGAGCGCGCTCGTTGCTGGGCGTTTTGGTTCGTTTATTCGAACGATAGGTTGAAGATTTTTAATGGTTATACAGGGTGAACCACGAATCGTGATCAGTAGAGATTACTCTGTTATTAGCAGTCCGATCGAAAATGTTTTTATCAGGTATAGCATGGTTTCAAGAGAGCTTTAACGCGATTATAGCAAATTTTTTGTTAACTCTTTTTTTTTCATGATTTTTTAAGGCCACCTTCAACTTTTTGTAAATACACCTATAATTTTTTTACACCTCACACATGTTATGTTACGATATTTACCGAATTCGTCTTGAAATCCTCTCACAGATAGATGTAAAAAATTATAGGTATATAATCCTATACCCTCCACCCTGTATAGCAGCAAACTCTAGAAAACTAGAGATATTCGAACGAACGATCGAATCTTTATCATCGATCAACCTGCTAGGTGCTGATGATTTAACCTGTTTGCTCCATATTGTTAGAAATTCTCAGGTTGAGAGCTGACAGACGACTGCAAAGGATTATTGTTGATCGATACGCTGCAAGTGTTCTTGAAAATTCACAGGTTTAATACTGATTTTATGTCATCTATCAGCTATCATTCTTGTTAAAAATAGGAGAAAATATTTTAAAAAACAGTCTAGACTGTCCTTTGTCTTTCCTTCGTTATTTCACCAGACTCCAATTCATCATAAAGTGCCTAAAGTCTGTTCATCTTCAAAGAACCAACGGCCCCTGCTCGAAACACTCTGCTTAATTCTCCGCGTCTCCAGTTTCACGCATCACGAGTCACACGATCCTCCCCATGAATCGTCGCCCGCGGCGAAATTCTCCAAACTCGAAGACACCCATTGAGAAAACTGAAAAATCATCGCGCACGAGCTGGTTCCCTCGTTAATTGAGCGGTATTGCCAACGAACCTAGCTTTTAAAAATCCTGTCCCCCTCCCTTTTTTAGCGGGAGAAAGAACGGGGATTCCGTACTTTTAATTGCTGATGACTCGTCCAACGAGGCTCGCCTACTCCTGCCACATCGTACCCTCTCGCCTACTCCTGCCACATCGTACCCTCTCGCCCCCTATTTCTCTACGGCAGCGGGCACGCGACAAAAGCGCGCGTGCCACACGCATCAGACCGGTAGGGACGCTGGGGCGACCCTCGTTACGGAGAAATCAGCGCAGATTTATCGAGCAAATTGGATCGAGTCGTTCCGCTGTGGGGACCGATCCCCGTGCCTCCCGCCCGCACGCGCGGAGAACAATGGTTCTCAACCCTAGTACCGAGGAAACGGCTGACTGGACTCACCAGTTCTCGGTGTACAGCCAGAAATATGGGCTGTTCGTGTCCTTTTCTGACATTCTTTTCGATCATACGCTCTTTCGATCGAAAGAGGGTTCGTTGAAATTTTACTTTGATCACTGAAGGACAGTGTTGCCCCAAGAAAGAAGAAGAAGCAATAGGAGTAGACAATTTTTTGGGTGGGTAAAGATCAAGGATCGAGGATATGAAACTTTTAATTAACGGCTTCTTTTTAGCTAAACAGGAAGACGAAATTATTACGCTTGATTGACGTAGACTCGGATCCGAGAAAAACAACTATTTTCTTAATTTTCGTATGTGTGTGGCTAAATCCCGTAACAGCATAATTTAAAAAATTTGAGAAATAAAAAATGGCGCCTTCCCAAATAAAAGGTTCAATTTATTTGCATAAAAATGGTTGTTTTTTTTAACCCGCAAATTTCTAATTTTCAATATATCGAAAAAATCGTGGTACGGGCTAGAATAACAGCTGATAAACAGATATGCCAAGTTTGAACTAAATCGGTCAATTAGTTTTTAAGTTATCATGGCTGCCGATTAAGAAATAATACTTTGGAGAAAAGCTGGATCAAAATTTCAAGTGCTGTTTTAGAGCATAAAAAAAGAAATGTTTCATACTTACAGCTAATCACTTATTCCGGGGCCATATAATACACCTTCCTCTTCCTAAAAAAATTGTTGCAAATTACTAAAAAGAAAAGTTCCATTTTTTTGAAACCATCAGACTAGCATAGCCCCTTAAGAGAAGAAATAAATTCCTACTTCTGTTCTTGCCTTTATGAATTACATTTATGAAGTGTCATTTGCATAATGACCCGTTGTTCGCGCCCGCAATGATTCCGAATGTTGGAGATGCACCGAATGTAGAACGTACCGAATGGTTACACAAACTCGGACAGTAAATGAGGAACTTGGTTCAACAAAAATAGTGGACTGTATTTAATATATAACAAAACTTGGACGCGTGAATATTCAGGGGCTGTCCCTGCTCAAGAAACCAAGACTGACTTGTACACACACAAGGACCAGTTTGGTTCTATCAGTCACATTGACTGTTCAAAATGAGATCGATCTTTCTCCCTTGGAGTCCTGATTGAATCTGATACAAGTTTGTAAGACTGAAGGCCTCCTCGGTGAAGCGCCTTGCCCCCCACTCTCACAGTCCGCCCTCAGCGCACCTCTTCGTGGGGGTGGAAATGTAAAATGCCCGCTAAGGTGGACGACAGTTTGGCAACCTTGGGGACTTTCCTCCAGGTACCGTACGCGAGGCTCCCTGCGAGCCGAAGCGCGAACAACAGCGTCCCGATACCCTTCGGAAAGCCCTGGTTTATGACATGGACCGTTAACTAATTTGGCGCGAGGGTGACTAAAAACTCCTGGTAGTATAAAATAATGTCGTACCGTGCACATTTGGCGACCAAATCTGCAGGACAAAGCCTTTACAATCTTCGCTCGCCTCGTCGATGCCATAAACCAATTCCTGGAACACGGTGTTCCAGAACACCCGTATTCTAATGATTAATATCAAAACGATGCCCAATCTAACCCAGTGCTGTTCATTTTCTCGGTTTCAGGGTGTTGAAACCCCCTGGTGGCGGTAGCAGCGACATATTCGGCGCTGGGCCAGAAGAGACAAGCCCACGCCGTGTGAAGAACCACAACCAATCCCAGCTCGGCTCCGCGTTGTTCGGCGACGGTCCGAACAGCAACGAAACACCGCGCAACAAGCCCGGTAATGATTCATACAAACGCCTGTTTGGCCCTCCCGATGCCCCACCCACCACCCCAAACGCGAAAAATCACATGCGCAGCAATATCTCCCTCAGCGGGGATTCGTCGTCGTCGGCGGCCTCGTCCGTCGCGTCGTCCGGCGCCGCGACGTCGCCCGCGAAGAGCACCGGCAGCTCGGACTCGATCGCGGGCGTTTTCAACGGATACGCGGCCAGCAATGGCAACAACTTGACCAACGATATCACAGGTAAGGTATCTTTAACACCACGCTCTCTATACTCTGGTTCCCCACGCTGTCTTTCTCTTTCTCTCTCTCTCTCTCTCTCTCTCTCTCTACCCCCATCCCCTCTGCGTTTCTCGTGAACAGGGGACGACATCTTTTTGTGTTGTCCCTTGGTCCAGGTGAAACTGGTGTACGGTGCGAGCGCGAGGGAAACCCACACGCGGCTTTAACCAGTTGTTACGCACACGAGTGTCCCAGGCATATACACCGTAACGCATATCTTTTCGACACGCCCGATAATTCGTTGTTTGCAGGTTGATCCAAGGTGTCTTTCAGTGATTCTAATTTGGTATAATGTAGTAGTAATGACTAAACATTGTCAGGATTGGAACCGTATATACAGTAAATCTTCGATGAGCTTTCGATGGCTCTTCGGCACTGAACATTAAGTATTTAATTAATTACCTTGTACGGCTGAAACAACAATCATTGGCTTCAGAATTCCAAGCTGTATCGCTGTGCTACGCCGCTTTAAAAAGTCAGCGTTATACCTGAGGACCTCACCTCGTCAGTGCTGGGGAGCCTTTGAACACTCATCGAGGATTTAATGTATGTCGCCTATCAGAAATATTCTAGAGCCACTTCCTCTATTGGGACGATATTAAATTGTGAGTAACGCTTAGAATTTGTGCGTTTATCACACTGCATAATATAAAGTCAGCAAACTTACAAAAATATCATATTACATGTATATGTAGCATGTGTTCAGTTTATAAAAAAAAAATATGTGCATGGGAGCCGCAGTAAGGGTCTAAAAAAATCGCAATGTTTGGCCACCGTGATTATATAGGTTGTCCCGTGACACGGACGGTTGAGAAGGAGCCTAAATTATTCAATTTAGAAGAATTGATGAAATACTGGTACTGTACTGGTGTGGGCAGTAACCAATCTGGCTGTTAACCCGTTCACTGTTTTTGTCTACTATACAGGACTTCAAGTTTATCAATGGGTTACTAATATTGATGTCGTATTTAGTGGACAAAGACAGAGAACGGATTAACACCTCATCAATGAAGCTATTACACTAACACAGTTTTGCGTTATCCATAGGGAAGGCTTCGTTAAGTTTAAACAGTAAAAAATCAGATGCCGAAGCTGCAGAATTAATTTTTGACTAGTTGTAAAAGAACTATAGTTCAATTTAACTTTTATTTGTTATTGTTTTTACTGTTAAAATATATAATTCTTAGTGTAATTTTTTTTCTTTTCGCCTACTTGTAAGTTAACATTGTTAAATTACACCGTTCAAATGTTATATCCAATTGTCACTGGATTTTTCAATTCCGATCACTATGCGCCATGTAGCGCTATACGTCAATGAGGTGTCAAGTTCACCCTATTCTTATAATACTATTTGAAATCCATACGATTCAATGTAACAGACGCTGGAACACGCATAGTAATGCTAAGGACATAGTACCTTAAGTCCTATGAATCCTGGGCTCATAATCCCTAGAATCAGGAGTTACCAAGGTCTTTGCCCTAAAACGAAGCCACCAAGAATAAGTGTATTAGATTCTCCCTTTCCTTGTGTCTTTTCGTCTGTATCGTATTTTGTCTTTAACGTTCTCTGTATCATCGTCCTTTGTTTCTTGGTGACTCAAACCTCAAGATAAGGTTCTTGGTAACTTCTAATTACATGCCTGAGCTTTTAAGGCCATGGATTCTGCTGGCAGCATGAATCATTGAAAGACACTTTGGAGCACCTTCACGGTAACGTGGATCGGTCGAGATCGAAATTTTTTAAGCAGCTTTGGAAGAAAAATCTGTACAGTTCGGTTAAAGGAAAAATAGACTTGATGGGGATAGTCTTGGGAAAGAAAAAATCCCAACGTTTTTAATCATTACGTTTCGTCTTATATTAATTACATCGAAAGGAATAATAACGGAACGTCGTGCAAATTTTGACTACAGTGCATACTTGCATATAATATCCGCCTCGATATAAGATCACAGACAGTTAGATCCATCACTAGGAATTGCCGTGTCGAACAACGGCGGGGTAGTAACGGGTTAAAGTGAATCGCGAACAAAATAAGAATCTCTAAGAATTTCTAAGAATCTATTTCCAAGTCAGTTCTTCCTTCAACCAGACTATGATTTTCTCCCGTTTCTTTTTTTTTTTTTTTTTAACGCTGTGATCAATTCAATTTTTTCGTTTCTTTAATTTTCTTGCGAACTTCTCTTGCGGAAGTTCACGAACCACCTTCGAGCTTACTTCGAGGCAATTGTTTTGGCGTTGATTTTTCACACCGGAACAAACTACTCTTTTCCGTGCGTTCGAGCCTTTATTTTTATCTTTGCCCTGACCGTCTCTGACAGACAATTGTGCGATCGCTCGGACTGCAATATACACTGGAACCTCGCACTGTATTCGAGAGCTACCTTGAAATATGTGTCTGGTGTGTCGCAGGCTCTTTCCCGGGATTAACGTCGAACGTTATATACCTTTACATCGATTATCGATGCCGAGGTGTTCGTTTTATTTAAATATATATGCACATATACATATATATATGTATATAAACCTTTTCACCGAGAGTTACGCTTTGCTTCTTGCCCGCGATCGCGCTCGATCACTTGCTCCGATGATTTTTGAGCAACTTTCGCCGCGGGCCACGCTCTCCTCGCGGTTGACCGAGATCGGTTTCCACTCTACAGGCTGATTAAAAAAGAACCGAACACTTCGAAACCAATCAGGCTCTTGTGTAAGGTGTAACTCAAAAGTTTCATTCGAAATTACTTCAAAGTATACATCGAGTCTAGAATCGGTTTTATCTTACAGGGCGATTCAAGAAGACATGGTACTGTTTCAGATACTTGTCAAACTACTATGTAGTTATTACGTGTCTATGTATTTCACAAACTAACTAAAAGAATATCATTGCAGAATACAATTAATTTGTTTTAAATTTGTCTGCACTATCAGATTTTAGTTATACAGACTGTTTAAACAGATAGTGGTTTAGTTGTACAGGCTGTTTAAGAAGATAGTGGTCTTTTCAGAAGATCGTTAGATTAAAAATGAGATCATAAAGCATTAGGAATTCCCTTGGAAGTTCAAATTACATCAGTTTCTGTTATACAGTTTCTATTGTATAGTTCATATTCTACAGGGTGATTAAAGAAAAGTCGGTCAAACTATGAACAAAGCTGTAGGGCCCTAAGGGTGCCTTAAATCATCAATTTAGACAACATTTCCCGGAGTCTTAGATCAATAACGAGTCTCCAAGGAGCGTTCGGCCCTTTTTTTCTGGATCAGCCTGTATACGTCGGCTGAGGAAAACACGAAGAGCAAGGGAAGCGTGAAACGATTCGATTCACTTCGTTTTTATCAGTCTCTGTGGAGCTAGCGAGACACGAACGAACCCATTTTTTTCTTGTGACTAATCGAATGGCTTTGTACCGAAGTCAATCCTCTTGAACTGTTCGCAAGCAGCTTTTAGGAGAATCAAACGATTTCGTAAGTGTGCAAAAGAGACACAAATCAAGTAGATGACACGACACACATATCCCCCCCTCCACCCCACCGACAAAACACTCTTCCTTTTGATAGAGCCACGCGAAACGTCGTTCCCGTCGGTTTTTATCATTGTTCAAACTCGATTAGCATTGTCGCGGCTTACTCGCGATCAGGAAGGGGGCGTAGTCTCGTTCGAACGATAAATAACGAAAGGAAACAGATTATAAAAGTCGTATTCCGATGTTTACTCGATCGAACGATCGTTCCTCTATATATTTGTAGACTTTACACGATGATTCACATCTACAGACGTTAAAGAAAAGTAAAATTGAAGATTTTATTCGACGTTCCAATATTTTTACCTTATTTTTTAAACAAAAATTATAAACATTCCTTCATCCTCATTTCGGTATATTTGTGAACGTTTGTTTATTAGCAATTGATAATTAACTTGTACCCACTATATATTCGATATTAGTATTAAATTTAACAGTAGTTATTCAACTTAACTTGCTAACCTGGATTTGTTCACTACAGTAGGCGCCTACTTTACCACATTAGTGACAATATATGGGACATTTCCTGACGATCGGCAGCACGAAACTTCTTTAAATAACATCCAAACATTGGAGAAACGGTGTTACCGTGACTACTAGTTCGTTATTTATCGTGAGCAAACACATTGTTTATAATAAAAAAGTACTTTAAAAATGTTTTAAATAGTCTTCAAATGACTATCGGTTCCTGATTGTATGAAAAAAAAAATGTTTGTACGAGATACGTTAAAAACGTTTATGAATACTATTTTTTTTTTTATTCAAACTTTCTGGTACATATGATCGACACGCCCATACTTAATCATGATTCAACCAAGACCGTGCGACAACGCAATGCCAATTAAGTTACACGATTAATCAGATTTCGACCAGTCTTGACTAGAGTCTCGTTTGACCGTGTCCCCCCTTTTTTTAAATTATTTTTCCGATATTTTCCGTTCACGTAGACTCGTAGAACCGCGGAAAACCACACGTTGTCCTTCAATAGACAATCTTAGAAGCGTAAGCTACGATGGTTTTCCTTTCCGGGTCGATCAATCTTATCCGAATCCGCAACAGGGCCTGCCACGATAATGAAAAAGCACATATTTTGAGTTAGTCGCGGCATCTACAATCCCTGCGTTATCACGTGAAAACACAATACCGTAACACTTTACTCCTGCCTAGCTTTAACAAAAGTAATTCTCATCGAATTTTTCGTTTAACGCGAGCAGCATCGAAGCACGGATTAAAAGTTGATTTGAACAATCCAACAGGGTTCTAAAAACGATCATTTTGTTTATGTAAGTTTTCTTGTAATGTGTTACGTCTGAATTAATATGTAACCACGTCTTGAGTTTAAGATAAAGATTTTTGTTTACTGTTTGTTCGTCAACGTTGTGTTTCGTTCACATTTTTTTTGGATGATCGAGACTTCATCGTTACAACTATAAACGTGTACGAATTTTTAATTGTTAAACATTAACGAACTTTGAATTGTTTCTATGATTTCATCATGTTCGATTGCCTGGGTTTTCATGTTTTTTTTGTGTTGTATTTTAAACCGTTTGAGAACTACTAGCGTTCGTCTGCATACTTTTTAGTTTTCTCGTGTTCTTTTCGTCGATACTGTATGATCCTGTTTTCCTCGCGACGATTGCGTTTTGCTTCTGCTTGCCTTATTTCACACAATCATTAGCGTAGTTGTAATACCTACTTGGTTATTTCGTTGTTTTCTCGTAATCGTTATTTTTCGCACGGACAGAACGAGTCCAAGACATTAGAATCTGTTACGATTATCAAGTATTCAGTAATGGTCGATATATCTATTAACAGTGATAATAAACTTGTAATAAAACTTCAAAACTTCTACAATTTACCACCACATATATGAATATAATCAACAAGAGTTTGGTATTTTTTAAACACTTACGCTGTCTACAGATATGGTCGATGGATACCCTATAAATCTCCCTTTTCATCCCTTCAAGATGGTAATACTAATAACCAACTTTACTCGATTATAAAATATTACAAATTTCAAACCAACATTTGCAATGCAGTTCAGACCAATAGTAAACTTCAATACAAATTATGTACCTGATCGTGATTTTTATTTCAAAATAAAAGAAAATATTTTTCACACAAGGATGATAAAAGTGAAGTGCGTAAGAAGCTCTAGCATTAGTTATTATTTCGAACATGTATAGCTATTAAAGTATCCACTTACTTCATAAATGTAGCATATTTTACATATTCAATAAATATTGCAATTGTAAATAATAATCATAGGATTAATACATACTTTATATCAGAGTACTTTCAATTTAGCAATTACACGTAGGTCACTTCACCATTATGCAATGTGCAAATAACTATTGCATTACCATTCCTGAAATTAAATTCTCCTTTAATTGAAATTGAAACTAAAGAAATATATTTTATCACTAGACTATCATACACGTAAATCAGAATTAATTTACAAATTTCTCCAATCAAAAATACAAGTTACCCTCGGACGACGATGACTACGGGTCATTTTGATCTGAGTTTCCAAGAATTACATCCAACTTAACAGCTTCCGATAACAAAGTCAGTAAGTGTTTTTTTTTTTGTTAATTCAAATAAAATGAAAACCAATTCAGAAAAAAATTGTTCAGAAAAAATGATGCCTTCGGAGGGTTCAAGTATCAACCACTGGCTTCGTGTCAAATTGTGACCCAAACAGCGCACGAGGGTCAAAAACACTCTTTTAAACGTTAAAAGTATCTCCTTGACACTTCTACGATCACTCTATAGATCTCCCATAGGAAAGTATCAACCATAAAAAAAAAAAAAACAATAACCATGATAAAAGGGAAACCTGTGAATGATGCCTTCGGAGGGTTCAAGTATCAACCACTGGCTTCGGGTTAAATTGTGACCCAAACAGTGCACGAGGGTTAAAAAAACACTGTTTTAAACGTTAAAAGTATCTCCTTGACACTTCTATGACCACACTATAGGATCTTCCATAGGAAATCCTCGACCATAAAAAAAAAAAAGCAATAACCAAAATGAAAGGGATCGATGTCTTGGGCTTTCGTTCGTCCGAATAGTCGCGTGCACTAACACACATTACGGTTGGGTTACGGTTGCGGGTTTCTTTGCTACGGTGTTGTCCGGTGCATGATCGGGGTGGTTTGGTGATCATGATGATGATGATGATGATGGATGATGGTGGTGGTGAATTCTGGCGCGTGTCGCTTTGCGTGCACTGGCCTGTGAACTGTCGTCCTCTGTGCCTTCCTACCCGCTCGAACAAACCCCGGCAGGTGGATCGTCCTGCATAACGCGCAACCCGGTCACCGGAGACGGAGTTGACGTGACGCCGATCAGGCGCAGCGCACGAAGGTGTCGAGGTAACGTCTGCCACAGATATTTCATCAAGTTTCTATGTTTTTTTTTTTTTAACTCGAACACGATCTTCTTTTAGCCCTCCCACCCTTCACTATACTTCACGCACCCCCATCCCCTTCCTCGAGATCTCACAGTTTTATTCTACTTTTTTTTTCCTCTTTAAGTCTTCCTAGGTCAACGAAAGGAAAAGAATGATGTCTTCTTTATTTCGATAAGAAATTGAATTTCGATTGATTTTTCGATAAGAAGATGAAATCGATTTTATCGATTAGTTTATTTGATTTTGTCAAGGAGTTGACCGTAGAAAGACTGAATCACGAAATCGCGTTGAAAATCTAAGAAAGGGTTACTTAAAGACAGTGAAGCCTTTTATGTTTTTATTTGGGGAAATTAATGATAAAGTTGAGTATTTTATAAGTAACGAATTGTTTGAGGAACGTTGTTATTGTATACTTGATTATTTTCGAACCAGAATTTGCAATCGCAGTCTTTGTCTTCAATTTTTATTAAAGATAAGTGATGGATGTTTGTGCGAATTGGAATTTTTGTGAATTCCAAGGACTGTAATTACAAAGAAATTTTTATGTTCAATCAAGAGTTCTGAATAAAACGAATATCGCGTTATTATTGATAATTTTACTATATTGGGTTTCAGACAGTCATTTACAATATACATAACTGCATAACATCCAAAGACTAGTCATTACTGTAACTCATCAGAGGATACTCTTATCATTTTCCTCTATATCATCATCATGTCTACTATTACTATTTTTTCAATGTCACTGTCGTCACTATTGCTGCCTTATTTTGTACGTAACCAGTGTTCATTGTCATTCTTGTTGTTTGATAACAATTTCACTGAATCGAAACTTCTTACAGGTGCAAGCAACAGTAAACAATATCCAATGTCTCTCACATGTTTCAACAAAGAAACGCGACCAGTCTGTCTATAATCTTTCTACGGTTAATACTTTCATCATTTCTTCGCAGAACGTTGTTTCATCGTTTTCAATTACTTCGTCTCTTCGACGATGATAGAGAGCTCTTACGGACACGCGATATCCTCTGTTTCCGCGTGTTTTGCAATTAATATTTTGATAGTCGTGCTCCGGGTCATCACGCGATAATTCTTTCATTGTTTTTGACAGTACGCAACGTGATGCACGATGTGAAAATGTTCTTTGTAATTTAATACCTTGATTCATCACTTTTTTTCTTCCTTAGTTAGATTTTTCTTCGCCGTTGAAGAACATTTGTTTTCTTTTCATAAGTGTTTTTTTGTGTGTATTATTTTAGTATTAGTTTCTGGTATAGCTGATTCAGCCGTTTATTTAATTGGGTTTTTTTCAGAGTGATTCTTTAGTTTCCAGAAAATGAATATTTCTTTTCCTTTCACGATTCTATCCTTTACCAATTTTACAAAAAGCAAATGACACCCATAGTAAATGATACAATTTGTAGATAAATTGTTTAACCACTTACCAAGTACAGTTTCCTAAATTTAATTCTCAAAATGGAAAAAGATTTAGAATTGTTTCGCCCTAAAAAATGGACTATTAGACCGTGGATATTATGCACTAGTACTAGATATAATGGACGAAAAAACAAAAGAATACAAAATCTAAAGCAGATTACAATGTACAGATTGTTGCATGGATACGGCATGACTTCCAATAAATAAAGACAATCTTTTATAAAAAGGAAGAATTATTTATTTGGAGAGGAGGAGTACTTATCTTGACACGTCTTTTCTATTCTACGGTCGTACCACGACTCTACCTTGTCTCTGTTTTGGACATCCAAAATGACGCCTTTAATCTGAAGTCTCTCGCTTTAACATTATACAATACGTGCTACCTGTCGGGTAACACGTAACAATATCTTTTGTCTAATGAATCCATTATTGAAGTAAGTCAGTTTCTATTTAATTCTTGCTTTACAAAATTAATTCATAAAAATCCAAATTTACGTAAAAACCCAGTCTAGTGATCTCCAAATTTGCATAAAACCCACAGTCTAATGACTTCAAAATTTGCATGAAAACTCACAGTGTATGTAGTGATATCGTGATTTGCATAAATACCCACAGTCGAGTGATTTTAAAATTTGCATAAATACCAACAGCACAGTAATTGTAAATTACTACTTTCTTTTATAAAGTTTCACGTTTGGGTTTAGGTTCCAGTGTCATTTGCCTCTTTTGACCATATATCCATCTACCTCCGTCTTTTTCATCCCCCGCCCCTCCACGAACTACATTTGTCTGAGACCTTCTCGAATCTTGACTCCTCGAATCCGAACAAAAGTATCGTATCGCTCGATAACAAAATCAAAACTCTCGATTACGAAGACTTTCGAGGCCAAGAATCTCGAGCAGCTCTCCGACAACATTTCCATAGGTCGACCCGTATAGTCAGTAATAGAACGGTAAGTTTGTTTTCTACACGATAGAAATACGCATACTCTTGTCTTGCGTAGCTTTAAGTTCCCCTTCACCCCCCCCCCCCCCCCCAGCGCACAAGACACTCCTTTTATCAAGTGCATCGGACCCAACTCTCCGGTCGTTCCCTTCATTTTACGCTTAATTGCCTCTGTCGAGCAAATTACCCCCGAATCCCCGGTCCCTCCCTCACCCTTCCTTCGATCCTTAAAGAAATTCTAAAACGAAAAATCGGGCGTCGTGAAACGCCCCAGCATGCCGAATTTCAGCGTGACATCTTGATGTATCTATATATAATATACAGGGTGGTTCATTTAATTGTACTATTCTAAATTTATTCACAAATTAGTTATTGTATAAAAAAAATTTTGAAACGAAAGTTGTTTGATATCGAGCTGAACATACAATGAGATAATTAGCTTTTTAACATTACGCTTTTTTATCGCGATACGACGGCGACCTTGAGTTTTTGTATCATGGTGGGTAATTTCTGGCCCTGCCATTCGAAAGAATATTGAATGCCGAGTAAAAAACTACTAAGGTATACGCGGTCAAAAACTATTAATTACCGAGGTATTCTTCAGAGAAGGATGATGGAGCTTCTGTATTTGACAAGTCCACACAGCACTTGTCCGCTTGATACAGCAGTTCAATATTTACTAAACATATCTTTCTAATCCGATAATTCAATGTTGTTGCTGCGCATACTACTTCTGTAGTAGTATATACTACTAAAAAATAATAAGTAAATTTAAGTGGTACAGTTAAGTGACTCACCCTGTATGTAAGTGTATAACAGTGTTCCACACTGAGATTTATCTGTCGGCCGTATAAAAACGCAACCGGAACGTGTTGAGCTTCTCATTTTTCCGTGAAACTCGTTACGGATAACGTATTGGACGTTTTTATACCGCCGATAATTATTGCATGCCGATGGTGCAAAATCGACCTAGCTTCCAGAAGGGGGGAATAGAAATCATAGAACAACCGGGGAGAATCGATCGGTCCCCGTCGCGGGAAAAGATCGATCCTTTAGAACACGCTGAGAATAGAATATTACATTGAATTTATTTTTTATTGTATGGTACTACGGTCAAGAATACTTTATTCGTTTGAATGGACCAGTTTTAGGTATTATAAAAAGGATTTTAGTTCACTCGAAGATTGAGATAGATCTTTGAAGCTTTAATAACGAGAGTCGAAAAATATATTAAATTTCTTTTATTTTGTTATAATATTGCTGTAAAGAATAATCCACATAATACGCAGGAAACCCATTTAAACATTCCAAAAAAAAAAAAAAAAAAAAAAGTCCTCTAGTACCGTGATCCAGCATAAAACGAGAATGGATCATTGGTACTCCAGTAACCATACCATGAGAACAAACCACATTCGGTATTATCAAAATCTATATCACAGAGCGATGTATTCATTTCAACTATTTAAGTATTCCAAAAAGGAACCCCTTTGGATTCCATCACCAAGAACATCCCTCAAGATGTTCATTGGAATTCACACCAACTCCTTTGCTAAACTGTGGATTTTCACCCATTTATAGAGTCCACCATGTATGTCCCAATGAAAATTCAACAAAATTTGTACTTTCTTTACAACATCTTATGGCCCTTAACCCCAAATACTCTCAAATACTATCAGAAACCCCATTTTCACATTTCCATTTCTACATCCCTTTCCATTCCCATACAAGTGACCAACTGGTGCCTCATTCTACGGAGAATAAAGTTCTCATCTAAATCACTTTATCGTATAAAATAATGCACAAGAACTTGCCCTTCCCTGAAAATCCACAGTTTAGTGGCAATGTACAGGAAAGCCAATTTGCGTCCGGTAGCGATACCTTACAAACCCCAATGGGCGTTCGGTAGCAATACTTTCCAAACGTCAATAGACGTTTGGTAGGCAATACTCTACAAACGCAAATGGAGGTTTGATAGCAATACTTTCCAAACGTCGATAGCTTAGGAACTCCAATGGGTGTTCAGTAGCAATAGTTCACGAACGCCAATGGGAGTTCGGAAATAATAGTTTACGAACGCCAATGGGCGTTCGGTACTGTTTCGATATCAATACTCAGCAAACATCGCAGGGTAAAACTCACTCGCGAGGTGTGTTTCAATAGGGGTGAAACGAAGTGAAAAAGAACTGGATCGTTCGGTTCACAGGGGAGGGTCCTCTATTAAGAATGAAACGTGTTTTCCACAGATGGTAATCCGGTGACTGGAACTGGCTACGCAGACTCACAGAATAACGGGCCGACGATGCAGAACGGGACGTCCAGCTCGAGCTCGAGCATCGGGGAGAAATCCAACGACTCGTCGCCGGCGGCGAAGGCACCAGCAGCGGCTCGCTCACGTGTCCCGCCCGGCGGATACTCATCCGGCCTTTGGTAAACCGTCACTCTCTCTGCGACCTGGGGGGATCCAAATGCCGATATCCAAGCCGATCGGCATCCAGTCGTAACCGTCGTCAGCCCTTTCAGTCTCCCTCGAATTGTCGAACGAAACGGAATTGGACCCGACCTACCCTTCCCCCCCATGCGACGATCGAATCCATTCCCTTAACAATGGAAGGGTAGCAACAGCGACGTTGAAGCGCTCGACAGAAAGACACACACACATACACACACACACACATACACACACACACACACACACACACACACACATACATACACACACGATAATTAGTTGTTTAGATGACAACGTTCGACACCTCGGAATTGTATGCTAGAAGTGTAGGCAATATGTTACTCGAAGAAAGAATAAAAAGTACATCCTTGTAACCCATTAAACAAACCAAAAAGAAAAAAGAACCCAGTCAAGTGCTTTCTTAATTTCCGTGCCTTTTTAAATGTATAGTTTTTTCTTCGACTTTAGGGAGAGAAAGAGCGAGAATGAGACAGAGAAAGAGGGAGAGAGAGAAAGATAGAGAGAGAGCACGGTTCCTTTTCTTTTTCCATCGATTTTTCCTATTTACTCTTTGTTTTCGTTCGATCGTTAAAAGGCGAAAAAAAAAAAAATAAACGGCTGTTCAACGCGGGAGGGTTAATTTTACTTCTACTAATCATAACGTAGAAAGTTACATAATGATATTCATACTCGATCTATGAATGTAACGAATTAGAATTATTCAGTCTCTATTTAACGATTAATTATCTGCACACCTGCGGTCTTTTCTCGAGGAGAAGTAATGAAATCGTAAGTAATTCCGTCGGGATTCGAGAATTATTCTATTTTATAGTCGTAACGAATTTCACCCACTTTTTGCTTCTTCTTTGTTTCACTACTTTACAATGCTATAATTGTATTTATTTCACGACAAGAACTCTCATACACATACCACACACGATTTCTTCTTACGTTCACGAAGATAAAAGAAAAAACAGTTCTGTTCTTCGATGTTTGGTGTGAGTAAAATCGCATTGTTTGTATCGCATCGTATTCGTCATAAGTAGCCCTTTTGTACTCTGGCATTAATTAATAAAATTTTGTAAGCAACAACCTCGACCACTTGTATTTCTCTTCCTACTTTAGCCTGTAAAGAGGAAGCGTGTATTCTGAATGGAAGACTGTCGACTGTTCCAATGAATTTTATTATCAAAATACATAATATCAAATGATAAGCGCGAATACTGCGACAAAATATAATAAATATATATATGGAGTAATAAAGACAACGTAATACTGTAGCGTAACTATAAATAATAAACTGTAATGCTTTTACATTGTAGCAATTATGTCCCTTATTGCTGGTCCATCCGCCTTGCACAGAGCAACGAATAAGTGTTTACGATTCGTTTCCAGTTCCAGCCTTTTTGAAATCTCGTGTGCTCGGCTCGTAATTACAGGTGGCACGCCGGCTAATCGGGCTGCATTGAAACCGTATGACTTGGGACAAGCGCCTTCGATGAGCTTGTACAAGAATGTCACAGTTTCTTGGGACACTTCGTCCTCTTCCTCATTCTCGACCATACACGCCTAAGAAGAATTTAAAATAAATATATAAAATGTAACACAGATACAAGAAAGTCCCACTAGACATTAGAAGTAACACATTATATGTTCAGTAAACCCTCTACAACGTGATAGAGCTAAATAGCAAAACTTGAAAAACACAGTCAAGTACCATATGAGCCAAAGTAACATCCTGCTTATTCTTGTAATCTTCTACCAGAGAATGATAGTGCGTGGAAAATAACGTCCGGCATTTCAACTTTGTCAACGCGTCTACGACCGCTGCGGCTATTGCGGTTCCATCGTAAGTCGACGTACCACGACCTGAATACAGAATGTACAACATTATCTTTAAGTTTTCTCGAACGACAGTGCTAACATTCTGACGAAATATTTGCTTACCCAGTTCGTCCAGCAAGACCAACGAATACGGCGTAGCATGCTGCAATATAGCGGAAGTTTCGCTTAACTCCACCAAAAAGGTACTCTGACCAGCCAGAATATCATCGTTTGCTCCTAACCGTGTGAAAATACGATCCACTATCGTTAGACGACAGGAACGAGCAGGAACGTAGCATCCCTAAAAGATGAAAGTAATTTCTTTTTGTCTCTACGTAAACACATATTGTATCATTAAGGTGTCGAATAGAACATACTATTTGCGCTATTATTGTGAGAAGCGCGACTTGCCGCATCAACGTGGATTTACCGCCCATATTTGGTCCAGTTAAAATCACAAACGAAGCGGTATCGTCAACAGCCAACAAAGTATCATTAGGTATAAAATTGTCTGATGCTATGCTTGGGTGTTTACCTTCTCTTATATCAATAAATATCTGTGGAAGGATATACATGTAAATAATTAATAATGTAATTACTGTAATACATTTTCGTAGATTAAAATATGCATCAGATAACATTACATTTCCATCAGAGCCTTCGTCGATTTCAGGTACACACATATCTCCGCTGAGAGCGTATTCTGACAGGGCAATGAGAACGTCCAAGATGGACAGTTTATAAACTGCCGTGTTCCACATTTCGTACTTCTCACTGAATTGAGCGAATATCCTTCTGTTTATATCTTTCAAAACTTTATTTCTATGCTCCTCGGCATTTGTTTGTCGACTCAGAAGTTGCTAATGAAATTTCAGTCCGTTAATAAGGTCCGTAATGATCAGTGTCTAGTGTTATACCATCGACATATATTAATATCGTTTATACCTTCGCCTCAGTGGTATAATAACGTTTAAACCCTTTCCTCTGCGACTGTAACTCGTATCCAGGTCCAACTTTCTTCACCTGCGATTCCGGGATCTCGATCTGATAACGCTTCCTATCCGTCCCATGGAACGTGACTTTCACCCCGAAATGCTGTCTCTGCTTATCAAGATACCGTTCTAGGTCTTTCTTCACTTCAGCAAGCTCCATCAAAACAGAATCGTATTCGGGATCGACCCCTTTTTTTGGAACGATACAGCCTTCCTTCTTTGCTTCATCGTGGTCAAATGCAGTCTAAAACATACAGTAACATATACAATAGTATCTGTTACCTGATATCGAACACATACACGTGGATCTTTAAACCCATAAGAAATCATATATGGTTTCATCATCATGAAAGGGATAATTCTTTCTGATTAAAACTTCAATTACCTTGAAGTAATCCAAACTTTCTCTTAACGAAGGAAATTCACCGTCCGGTTCCAGTTTGACGCAACGAGCTATTAAATTGCAACTAAAATCTTCAAACAATGAAACTATTTTTAAGACATCCTCAAAGCTACTGAGGGTAGTAGTGAAGTCTGAAATTCGTCTTTTAGAGTACGTTGGGCCCTCAAACATAATGGCTCTACCATCGGGATGATTATTCATTCTTGCTGGATTTCCGTGAGCATGAATTCTGAAAGTAACCGTTGTATAAATATTCTGGTCAGTCATACGTTAAATCATTTTACTTACTTGCTTAACAGTCTCTCAAGGTCTGGAAGACCAGCTAACATGCCGCGGGCAGTCTGTACCACTTCAGAACGGTCCATCAGCTCTTGTATAGCTTGTTGTCGTTCTAATATGACATTTTTACGACAAGAAGGTCTGCAGATCCATTCGCGTAATAACCTGCAAACAAGTTTTGTTCAGAAGAACGCCGAGTGTTTGTTGTTACTTCAAACATACCTTTTTCCGAATGGAGTACAACAGCGATCTAACGTTTTCATCAAAGAGCCTTCGCCGAAGATTCTCAAATTGTTTATAGTGATGGCATCTAAAACCTATTAATTATAAATGGTAATTTTTTGATGTAATATAATTAATGTGATTTACTAAAGTAATAACCACCATATTATTTGCAAACTTAGTAGCCCCCGATGATTGACTGGAGAAGTCCGGCGGTATGTACGATTTAAAGCGTGCTTGTGCCAACAACTGTTGCTCGAGGAAGTAGTCTTTGAGCAAGTACACGCATCCTCCTAAAGCGTACACTGCTAATTCTTTGTCATCGGCTGGAGTTAAACCTAAATTGTCACCTAAATAAAATAGGAAGATTGTACATTAATAATTAAGTTTTGTAAATAAGATTTTGACAAACATTTCAGAAAGCCCTGTGTGAACACATTATTCCACATAATATATACCTTCATTAAGATACGGTTGTAAACCTGCAGGCCACGAAAAACCAGAATCAGAGTTTTTAAAGTATTCTCCTTCATGAAGATTCTGTATACCATTGAAAACATTTACATGAATAAATAGTAATTAAAGTGATCAAAACAGGGTAATATCACGCTTACTTTTAATGTAGTCGAAGATGACCAGAATTGAGTCTCGCGCAGAAGCGGTTCTTTGATACACGTTGTTAAAGTATTATTTAATATTTGCAACGTTTTCTGAGATAAATTACCGCGTTCGTATACAACCTACGAAATAATATACATATATTTATTTAGTTACAGTCGATCATTGGTAAATAAATGCTTACGTGAACAGGTGGATAATGAGCAAGCAAGGTCAGTATCCTAGAATTGCAACGATCATCCTCAAATTGGCCAAGATAGAAATCTCCTATTGTTGTATCGATGAAACACACGCCATAATGGGACGCAGTTGCACCAGCCGGGCATTTTTCAACGAGAGACATTAGATAATGGGAATTCGGCGTTGAAGCATCTACATCTTGTGGAGTGTATACTCTTGTACCTTTAGAACTTATCTGGCAAATTTCCCTTCTAACAACTTTGTCAAATTTCGAGGGTTTAGTCACTGTAAAATAATATGTAATGTATTATTAATCATTACACAACAAAGAAAATATTTCTTTATGTTTTACTTTTACTGCAGCGTTGTGTCATCATCTCTGGGTTCTCTGTTTGTTCTACTCTAGCTACTTTGTATCCTCTTTCTATGAGACTCGCTGAGAAACGACCGTACCCGATTTCGGGAAAACCGGAATGTGCAAATTCACCCTATAATTGACAGTATTTATCTTCAGTCACCTATAGTTCACCGGTTCAGGGAAAAGAAAATCTAGGAACTTACTCGCATATATGTAAGATTAAGTTCCTTCACTCCAGTAACAGCATCCATATGATACAACTCATAAAACTTCCCTACTTTAAAGAACAGGACACAGTCAAAATGTTTACTTTTTAACTCCCACCATTGTCTCATTGCCTGTAACAATGACATTTTAACAGGTTTAATTCAAATTTAATAGTAAACTTCTAATTGTGTAGCTTAATATGTTCGACAGGTTAAAATTTGCATCTCACTGGAGTCTGCTGGTTCAAGAAGTCCAAAGGAACATAGACAGTTTTTGGATCATAATTTGGATCTCCTAGTGGTTTTCTATTGATGTCCCTTATTTTGTTTGGTTGAAGGAAATCATATTTCAAATGCGGCCAGGATTCCACATGATTACTAGAGCCTTGAGCTTGAATTTGCGGAGATGGTTTTGATTCTTTCTTATCCTAAAGAAATTTCATCTTAGTTACTGGAGCAGCGAACAAAGTAGAATAATTTGCAACGGTAAGCTTACTGCTTTATTATTAATCTTTGAGCGGGTTGCAGCTTTTCTCTTTGTGCTGTTAGATGCCTTCTGTTTTTTCTAAAACATTTTACAGTCAGTAATTGGAATCACACTTTTATGAATGTATTAAATCCTTTACCACTGGAGATTCTTCTTCACTCTGTGTCTCTGGCTCAGTCTCAGGTTCTCCTTCACTGCCAGAATCAGAATCCTCTGATCCATCCTGTGGACCTATATCAATTAAGTTACAAACAATTTCTTTATTAAATAACTTGAATTGTTTAAACTCTATACAAACCAGGTTTGAACTCATCTCCAGAATCTTCCCCAGATTCTTCATCTGAAATAACTAGTCTTCTTTTTTTGAGTTGTCGTGGCTCATCCTTATCTTTCTCTTCTTCTTCATCATCTTCATAAATTCTTTTTTTATCCTCAGCATTCCTGTTTTCTTTCCCTTTGCTGGGAGTTTTGGCTACATACAATAATGATCAACTACTATTTCCAACTGTGTGTATTATTTACTTTACCAAAATTCACTATAAACTAGTACTGCAATTCATCACAAATAAAATATTTAAAAAACAGCTTACAATCCGAATAATTCGTAAAATTACTATTTCCTTACTATTCATAATGTTTGTATTTTCATTGCAATGTTATATTCGTATTAATGTAGGCGGTGAAGAAAAAAGATAAAATGTATTTTTCATTATTGTACTTATTATTAATGATTTATTTATCAAAATACTAACTGTTTTCATAATATACCTTTGTTCCTTTGTTCCTTCGGTGTTTTCGGTGTTTTAGGAGTTTTCGACGTTTTCGGCGTTGAAGGTTTCTGATCGTTCACAGGTTTATTAGCTGGTTGTTTAGGAGTTTTCGGTGACGTGAAATAATTGTACAACGTATTTACTTTCGACATACTGTTATTAATAAACAATACAAAAAAATTATTATATTAAGCAGTCTTTTCAAACTGCTTCCACACAAGTCCGTTCTCGTGAATGAACAGGAGGATTAAAATCCCGGCAAAATTACTGCGTTCCTAAACCTACTGAATCAAATTTTAACGTTCTCAAATCTACTCATAATTTATGGAAATTTGAAGTCTCTAATTGAATTAGTATTCTTCAGTATTTAGACTATAGAAGTCGAAATTAATTCGAGAAACATGTATTTAATAATATAAACAATAAATAAACAGAAGTGTCGATTAATTCTGATTAATTCCGCTAGTCACCGAGAGATAGCAGTACCAGTCAGTTCCTAAAGCTTAATCCTGTTTTTTGCGGAAATGATATGTGACGCCATCTATTTAATATTGGCTGAACCATAGATACATATAATAGTCTGCGCGGTCATCGGAAAATAGTTGGCGCGGAATGTTAAAGGATCTTAACGATTTATATCTCAAAACATTGCTCCCAAATTGCTCCTTCCGAATCTGAAATTGCTCCCCCAGCACCGTTAACAGTTAATGAGATATTCGCAAAAGAAAAAACAACAATTTGTTGTTAACAAAATAGGTAGTAAATGACCTTTTTACACAAATATTATGATACCAAAAAATTGCTCCTGATCAGTTTTATAATAATCAATAGTCAGATATCTCAATAACTTTGCTCGTGCGGGTACATCTCACACACACGAGGTCTCTGGCGCCACCTCTTGGGGTTCTATGACCCTACGTTCTCATCACACAGGTCTCCGGCGCCTCCTCCGGGGGTTCTGTGACCCCACGGTCTGACCACACGGGTCTCCGGTGCATCCTCCGGGGGTTCTGTGACCCCATGTTCTCACCACATGGGGTCTCCGACGCCTCCTCCGGGGGTTCTCTGACCCCACGATGTCACCGCGCGGGGTCTCTGGCGCTTCCTTCGGGGGTTCTATGGCCCCACGCCTCACCTTATGAAACCTTTATGAAGCTTTGAAGATGGTACGAAAGAATTGCAAGTTACAGGGGAGGGAATTATTTGCGGCATATAAGTTACAATATTTTATAAGCCTGAATAATATCTAAACCTACTTTTTCTGAATTTATATAAATATCATTACAAGTATATTGTAAAATCATATAGATAAGTAGGATTTAAGTAAAATAAGTATCTTAGGGCACTTTTATTGAATCCATCAAAATATTATTATAAATATATTGCAAAATCATGTATGCAAGTAGTACTTAAGGCAATTGTTGTTAAATTTATATAAATACTATTGTAAATTGTATATTTTGGTACGATTTTTTCAATAAAAAACAGTCAAATCATACATAATCATGCTTCATTCATTAATTCCGGCACTATCTCCACTCCTATTCCTAATATCAATTAACCAAAAAAGTAATAAGAAATAATAAATAATAACAAAATAATTAATTCTAAAACCTTTACAATAGTATTTCTATAAATTCAACAACAATTGCCTTAAGTACTACTTACATACATGATTTTACAATATATTTATAATAATATTTGTATAGATTCAATAAAAGTGCCCTAAGATACTTATTTTACTTAAATCCTACTTATCTATATGATTTTACAATATACTTGTAATGATATTTATATAAATTCAGAAAAAGTAGGTTTAGATATTATTCAGGCTTATAAAATATTGTAACTTATATGCCGCAAATAATTCCCTCCCCTGTAACTTGCAATTCTTCCGTACCGTCTTCAAAGCTTCAAATGGTTTCGTAAATTTATCGCCGAAATTTTTATTACCGGTGAAATACGATAGACGTGTGTAATAATTTGCAGTAGTCCTCTGCCAGATTCAATCTGTTGTTATTACATGTGGATTACGGGACAATGAACGGTAGTGAAATGGCTTGCGTCAGTACACGTTTGAAACGTGATTCTTTATTGCCGTTGCTCGTACAACTCTCGAGCTCGGTCGAATGTTGCTCGTGCAACTGTCGAATTGGGACTGATGCTTGTGCGTGTTTCCGTGAGCAAATTATACATTTTTTTTTTTTTTTTTTTTACGCGGGGGAAATGCCTTATGCACACCCCGGAGTCCTGGGGTGGGACTCCGAGGTAGTGTGGGACTAGCACCTACTAAAACCCCCGCGGCAGCCTTCTCGGGCGAAACTCGGCGGTGGCGGGATCTCGTATGAACGCACCGCCACGAGCAAATTATACATATAGTAACCCCAGCCAACCATGGCAGTTTCTGCAGATACTACTACAGCCCAAGTTTAAAAGACGTAGGCAGTAGTTAGTTTCTGTAGTAACCTATTGAACCAGACAACTATAATTAGAATAGGATTGTACAGTATTTATGCAGTTATATTTAAGATAATACGATGAAATGAAGCTTATATTATCTGACGTATGTTTATTGGAATATACATACATACATATAAATTATAATGATATAAAAGTTTTATTGGAATATACATATATACATATAAATTATAATGATATAAAAGTTTGAAATACAATACAATGTGCTACGGTACAATACGTCTATTCGATTCAATTGCTCCCTTGCGACTACATCATGCTATCCGCGTTCGGCGCAGTGCACTAATACGGAGGCAAACGAAATATCACTGTAATACTTAAAACAGTTTTAAAGTTCCATTTATATCATTGTCCTGTGAAAATGTTCATACTTCCAGCAGCATTCATATTCCAATCAAAGAATTTACACAATAAGGAAAAGGAATCTAAAGTAATTTTCAGTAGTTCCATACATCTTTATCTCGAATAATTTTCTAAAACATTCAAAGTACTAGACATTTTTCTACTTTGAATCTCGTATCGATTCCTAAAATAACCCAAGTTCGATGTAATATAGAACGTGGTTTTATGAGATAGATTCGAAGTTCGCAGCCATTAGCTCCATGTTGTCTTCAGTTTACAGTACTTTACCGATGACAATACCGATTGCCCATGCCTCACCACGAGATTGTTGCGAATGCAGGCCCAAGGCAGGTAGATGGAATCACAAGTTCCACATCTACCCACCTTTTACAATAAACCTTATAAATAACTTAAATCTTAACTATCTAATATTATCGCTACTAAAATCCCTCGGCGGATGACTTCTTTCTTGAGCCTAAACCTATAAAAAACTAAGTTCCCTCGTCGGTTGTCTTCGTTCTTCAGCTTAGAACTAATATTATCTTAATATTCTAATTAATACGAATTAATGCTATTAATACAAAATAACTTAAACTAAACGCAACGTAGTCGCTAATACTCAAACGAAAGAGATAGACGGAATGGAAAAAGTTCCATCGATCATTTCGTTTACGCACCTAATATTCTATATACCAAGCAGTTATTAAGTCTACGATGAACTACGCGTTAAACTACAGTATGAACAAGTATCGCGATGAAAGTGTTGTCGCCAGAACCTGGTTTAAGAAAATAGGAAAGACGGGCGACACCTCGCTAACCCGGATCCATCTTTTACTGTCATGGAGCTTTGGGCTGGTCACCTGCGTACCAGACCCGAACCAAAGGAGTACACAAGCATGGTAGTGCAAGCGAGATTCTCTGTTTACGGAGCAGCCTCCCGACTACTCCGTACCCTTGCACGCACGAGTCTTTCTCCAAATCCTACTTACCAGGCAAAGACTAAACACGTCCGATATCTGGCTTCTCAATAGAAACCAGAGGGATCGGCAAACAGTCTTAGTGTACAGACCCACTGCCCGTACCATAGGTACAGACCCACTGCCCGTACCCCAAGTCTGTGTAGAGAATCAACGAGCAAAATGAATTAATAATAACTTGGTATGCACAATGGATGGTCACAATTTAAGTCTATTAATAGATAGACTAAAATTAATAACAATAATTATCATTACGATATGATGATGAATATGAAAATAACAGTGAATATTGAATTATGATTTAAGTTTAACTTACACTAACTTAACGCAGTGGTAGACGCTTTGAGGATGTAAACGTTGATCGATGTCTTCTTTCGATGGAATAACTGATTGGAAAAATATTTTTCATTATACAATACACATAGAATACATAATATGCACAGTAAATAAATCACAACACAGTACATAAGAAAATAAATATCAAAGTCAATGGTTCTCGAACATCTGTAACATACAAAGGATTAGTAACAAGAGAGGGGACACAACAATATGCACAATAAATAAATTAATAATATACACAGTAAATAAATCACAGTATAGAAATCACAGTAAATAAATCATAGTAAATGAATCACAGTACATAAGAAGATAAATATCGAAGCCAATGGTTCTCGAGCATCTGTAACATACAAGGGATTAGTAACAAGAGTGGGGACACAACAATATGCACAGTAAATGGGTTTGTAACAAGAGAACGGACGAGTATGAGACGCGCGCCCACCCTCCGCGACGGTTCACGAGAAAGTGAGGAAGCTAACGCCGTTATGTATTCGGCGTACGCAGGTTTGTACGTGTTGAATTGTTTTTGCCGACTCGAACGACCTTCCTCCTTGAACGACCCAAACACCAGATGGTATGGCCAGGTACGGCCATGGTACACGGCGTATCCGGTCGCTGGGCGACCGGCGCGACGCGGCGACCCCGCACGATTGGCGACGACGGGCCCTCGGGCTCGCCTGCCTGTTGCGGGGTCGTCGGGCATGTAGGGGTGTGACTGACACCCCTGCCCAGAAGTGCCCGCGTCGATGCCGCCGTTCGGGGGGGGACGTTCGTTCCTCCCGGCGGTGCGCTTTTTCCCTGTGGGCGGGGAACAGAATACACCCACGGTAATCCCTGCCTGTCGTAAGAGGCGACTAAAAGGGACCGTTGGGATCGCGGGACTGTGGCACCCGCGGTCCGGAGGGAGGGGGGGGAGCTCTCCGCTCCCCCCACCACAGAGAGGGCGTTCCGCCGTTAACTGGCGGAGCCGGCGCTGGGGAGGTACCGGTTGTGTTCGCAAGAGATCCGGGTGCCTCCCCGCAGAGCGCCGAGCCCGGCCACCGTGAGGTTTTAGTGGGTATTCCCCCTGGGCTTCGCCCTATTGGGGGTGAGTCCCACACTACCCCCGCCCACTCCTCCCACATTGGTGGATGGCGGGGGTGTGCGTAAATGCATTCCCTCACGTAAAAAAAAAAAAAAAAAAAAGCGTACATGGCTAGGTCAATAAACTGTGTGACGCAACGTCACTAGTGCGTTGGACCGACGGAGAGCACCGATACCGCGGAACGCTCTACCGTCCTCTCTCGCTCGCACACCTCCCCCCATAGATCACCGAAATTCCTCGGCTCGCGTCAACACCGACGGAGAGCACCGATACCGCGGCTCGCTCTACCGCTCTCGCTCACACTCTGTGACGTCACCCGATTCCCGGAATCCCGCGGCCACGAGGGGGCTCATTACGGTAAGGCATTTCTGCAAGGGAAATTCTCGGAAACGGTTCTAGATTAGAAACTAAAATTTTACACAATTTAGTTTCTTGTGATTATCAACAAATGCTGCAAATTCGAAAAAAATCGGTCATTAAGATCGCAGTTCTGTGCGTTTCGACCTCTCGCTTGTTTATGATGTTCATATTCCTCAAATAAATATCATTTTTAACTAATTTGTTTAAGCGACATGTTCCTTTTAAAGATTTAGCTCTCCAGTATAAATCCCTAAGACCGTTATTTATTATTCATTTCATATCGTTAAATACGATTTTCCTCACAGGATACCGATTTCTATTACAGTATCACAAAATAATTGCAAATATGAAACTTCTTTACCTCTTCTTGAACATTCTAATTTCATAGCCCTAAACTGGGTACCTGGAAGTATTTCATTGAATTTGTGTAAAAGATTGGACTACTTTCTAAAAGACTCCGTGTGATATTTGATAGCCTAAAAAACAATGTGCCGATACGGGGTTTCGATTTATTTACGAAACCAATCTAACCAGTTGCTGCATTCTTTGACAGTAATTTTCAAGAAAATAAAACTTCTGTATTTCACTTAATTTGAGAGACACGTAGCTGAATATTAACATACGTTCATTATTTAATTACTCGCAATAAATAAAATTTTTGTAAGTAAATAACGTATAAGTAAATTCATATGTAAAAATTTACCAATTGCCAGAAAGTAATTGTTCGTGCGTATTAAGATTCTTACAATAGGCAGTAAAACTATTCATACTCCCATATAAATTATAAATATGTAAATGTTAATAAAAGCGGTGTATATATTCTCCCACATGTAGATTTGATAAACTATTTATGAAACTAGTATGTTTATATTCATATTTATTATTTATGTACAAGTTTTACATTTACTGATGTTTAAAATGTATCAGTTTTGAATATTTATGTCGTACATAGTCGTTTTGATTTACCTTTGTGAAATAGGCGTTTTTCATATAAATCGTAATTATACTTTTTATTAGTTGCATTCTATGATTATTTAGAATGACCTGTTCTATAACATGGTAAGTCATTTCCACATCATTAAAGACTGTATGACACACTTTCCGAAATATTTTCGTGGTCAATACATGTTGAATATTTTTTGTAGTAAAAATGACGTGATTATGTTGGCGTATAAGCATTTCACATTGTTGTGGTATTCTTACTACGTCTTGGGACGGAAACATTAATTTTCCTCGATTTTTATAATTGATTAATATGGAATCCGTTAACTTTGCAGTTAAGAATTTTGAGCACGTCTGGCAAACGCCCTCAGTTCTGCAGAGTACTTCTTACTTCCACCCATTTTTCGTCTCGAGACCTCATTCATTAACGAAGGAGGTTTAGTCTAAATAAAACATAAATAGCATAATACGATTAGTAACTGGTAATTACGTAATTAGTAATTAGTAATTACGTAATTTGCTTTTTTACCCCGTGTTATACAATATATTATATAAGATATAAAAAATAACGTTTATTAGTAACATATATAATAAAAAAAAGTAATACAAAAAATAAATGAGTATGGTGTATATTAGTGTACAAAAATCAGAATTTTCATTCAAATTAATTAATGTACATACAATTCAAATATCTAATTATTAAAATATACAATTTCTTCATTGATGTTATTGATTACGATTTATAGTGAAACCAATCGTAATTAGTGTTAAATTTTTACAATACCATCACAATTTCAGCAGTCCTTTGCAACATTAGATTTTTCTTCTTGAAATACTTTAAAAGTACTTTCATTGTCATTTGACGAGCAACCAATCTGTTTTGAGCTTGCTGTAAAGTTTTAATTTTTCTTTGTTGGTTTGCAATGGTTCGTTTTGCTAACTGTAAAGCTCTTTCAGCTTTTCTAATATCAGCACCTGGCAATCTGTCATCAATGTAACGAATATTACTTGTAGCTGTAGCAGGTGTATGGAAACACTGAATATTTTCACAACTTTGTGATGTAAATGGGTGATTTACTGTTGTACAAGTTTCTACAGGTATAATCAATAATCAATTAATTTATCGGTTCAACCTATTTCAATCAAAGACATACAAGTAGAATAATTTTTACCTTCCAATGATATAGTGGGATTTTCATCGACAGACACAAACTCAAACTTTACCTTGTCAACTGTTTTTTTATCAAAATTGGCATTGTCAATATCTGCATAATCGAAATTTATTTCATCGACAGTACCACTTCTGGCAGTTGAGCTTCTCTGTTTGTTAATACTACAATCTTTAATTATGTGTGAACATGTATGCCATTTCCTCTTCTTACTGATAACAGATGGCACAGCATTGGGCCTAACAATTGTAGTTTTACCTTTACGAATTATGTCATCTTCTTGAAAATGATTTGAACACAGTTTAGTAACTGTGTTCAAAACTTCTTCACCAATGCCGCAAAAAGTTAGCCACTTCTTACGACATTCTTTGTCTTTCGGAAATCTATTGAGAACGAATAAAATTAATATTACATTTGCAATATGAACAAATACCGTACAAAATATTAACTTAAATTTTATCACATAATTAATATTTTCGGTACGTAGCATGAAAGCGTGGCGTCGGTCCGTTAATATGCTATATACATATGTATGTACGTAAGTACATATGTATGTATGTAAGTAAGTACATATGTACATACTACACCGGGAGAATTTAGACAACGTGTTTTTCACGTCTTCATAATAATCATTTTCTAAAATTCGATAAAAAAGTATTTCTGTGTAAACTGCATGCTTATTAACAACAAAAACAGCATATGAATAGCATTTTGAAGTCGACTTGTATAATCGTTTTTCGGCCACAGCAAGCGTTCTATATATGGACCATGTGTATACACGTCGATCGTACCGAAAAGGTTAATTGTATACACGAAATAATTAAATTAATATAATTTATTAAATATTAAATATATGTACTTACGAATAATAGGAATCTAATTGATTTCGGTTACCGCACAACAAGCAATATCTGTTTGGCATTTTTGAAAATCTATTAAACCGCTACTCAAATTTGTTCACTTATGTTCTTCAAGGAACTGCGGGAAATGAAAAAAGTTTGGAACTATAAACATTTTGACAGGATAATAATATAAATGGAACTTTGAAACTTTTCTAAGTTTTACAGTGAAGTTTCGTGAACCTTGATATTAGCGTACAGCGCCGAACGCGGATAGTAGGTAGCAGGACGATAGTTGTAAGCGAGCAATTGAATTGAATAAATGTATTGTACCATAGCGCATCGTATTGTCTTTCAAACTTTTAATCATTATACTTCATATATATAACTGCAAATGCTTAAATATAACTGCATAAACATTGTAGAATCTTGTACTAACTGTAGTGGTCTGTTTTAACAGGTTTCTACAAAAAGTAACTACATCCTGCCTGCGTCTTTTAATCTTGAGCATTCGACAGTTGTACGAGCAACAGCAATAAAGAATCAAGGTTCAAGCGCATGTTGACTCAAGTCATTTGACTATTGTTCACACTCTTGTCACCTACATGTCCTTAATTATAACAAATTGAATCTGGTAGAGGAATCTGCAATTCATTACTCACATCTATCGGATGTCCTCAGGAATAAAAATTTCGGTGACAAACTTATGAAATTATAATGAAGCTGTGAAGATTGTACGAAAGATTTACAAGTTCCAGAAGAGGGAATTATTTGCGATGGATAAATTACAATCTTTTATAAATCTGAATAATAATTAAGTTTAGTTTTACTGAATTTATGCACATATTCTTATAAATATATTGTAGAATCGTATACATAAGTAGTATTTAAGACAATTATTGTTAACTTTATACAAATACGACTGTAAATTGTACATTTTCTAACCATTTTTTCAATAAAAAACAGTTAAATGTTACATAAGCGTTCTTTTCATTAAGAAAGAAATAATAATAATTGCTAAATACAGTTAAAATCACGTTAAAAATATGAAATTTGAATTTCAAAAAAGCGTGGGAATAGTGCAAATTTCCTAAAATTATGGTCGCCAAATAGACCTATCATTGGTACAGCACACATTGGCACACATTATCGGGGTAACAATTCACGTACGTGACACTCTCATTTCCTCTCTGGTTATACCTTTTTTAAAAAGCATAGTTCATGCTCTTCAATATGGACGCACCCATGGCTGTCGTCTTCAAAGCATGATTGTGTATCTTAACCTAACTTTTTATGATAAACATTACTTTTTGACCCTTAATAAAGCAAAGGAATGGCGCACAGTAAAATATTTTTAAAAAATCGCGCACTAGGATATGTTAGTAATCACATTCCGCTCGTGACAAGGTACATTGATCGACGAAAGGAAAATCTCATAGTAACATGCGTAGGCAATGCATTTCACACGTATGGTTGTGCACATTTCACGCTACTTAGCGTGTCAGGAACACACCCGGGTGAAATTACATGTTTAGCAGCGGATACCTACCACATTTATACAGCATGTGAAAATGTCATTTATGCTTGGCGAAGAGGGACAGAGTTGAAGCGTACCTACAAAGGACACGAATGTTCAGTGCATACTCTCCTACCTTTTGGACCACATCTAATATCTGTTGATGAAGACTGCAATGTCAAAATATGGGATATTAAATCTGAAGAGATCATTGTAGAGCTTAGCTTTAGTAATAGGGTGTTCAAAATAACAACACTGATGCATCCTAATACTTACATGAATAAAGTATTATTTGGTAGCGAACAAGGTCAATTACAGCTATGGAATATAAAAATTGCAAAATTAATTTATACATTTAATGGTTGGAATACGCCTGTAACAGCATTGGAACAGGCTCCTGCAGTGGATGTTGTAGCTGTTGGTTTAAGTGATGGAAGAATCATATTACACAATCTTAAGTACAATGAAAGTCTTTTTGAGTTGGTACAAGATTGGGGTTCTGTCATATCCATCAGTTTTCGCACAGATGGCCATCCAATTATGGCTACTGGAAGTTTGGAAGGTCATATTGTATTTTGGAATTTAGAGGAGCAAAAAGTGGAAAGTCAACTCCATAAGGCTCATTTTGGAGCTGTCACTGGATTGAAATATTTGCCAAATGAACCACTCTTAGTATCATCATCACCTGATAATTCTTTGAAGTTATGGATATTTGATTTAGCTGATGGTGCTGGAAGACTCTTGAGAATCAGAGAAGCTCATGCAGAACCCCCTACTGGAATTCGTTTTTATGGAAATGAAGGTCACAATATATTAACAGCTGGAAGTGATTCTTCTTTAAGAATATTTTCCACAGTTACAGAAATATTAAATAAAAGTCTGGGAAGAGCATCATTTAACAGAAAAGCTTCAAAGAAGAAAGGACGAACTATTGCAGATCCTATGATAATGCCACCAATAACCACCTTTGCTGCAGAAACAACAAGAGAAAAAGAATGGGACAATATTGTAGCAACTCATTCTGGTTTGGGTACAGTTACTACATGGTCTTCTAATCAAGCAAAAATGGGAGCATTCAAATTATTCCCAGAGAAATTTAAAGGCAACCGTAATGTTTTTGCGACCACTGTATGCTTAACAAAATGTGGAAACTTTGTTATAATTGGTTACAACACCGGTCATGTAGAAAAATTTAATATGCAATCGGGAATTCATAGAGGTAGTTATGGGAATGATGTGGGAGCTCATAATGGTCCTGTAAAAGGAGTAATGGTGGGTCCTTTGAATCAAACTGTAATTACTGCTGGACGAGATGGTTTTATACAATTTTGGGATTTTAAACCAAAGAAAGGTAAGTAACTGCTGATATTTAGAATATTATATTATATTAATGGTTTTAGATATATAATTTGCATCTTTACACTTTTCAGGAATTACAGAACCAAAAGCAAAATTAGTAATGGATGAACCAATTGAATGGTTAAGGTATCACAGTGACAGTTCTCTTGTGGCAGTAGCTCTAGAAGATTTTAGTGTTGTAGTAATAGATCTTGATACAAGAAGAATTGTACGACGATTCGAGGGACACGAAGGACGAATAACAGACGCATGTTTTAATCCGGATTCAAGGTGGTTAATAACAGCATCTATGGACTGCACAATCCGCGTATGGGATGTTCCTTCCTCGAATCTAATAGATATTTTTCAGGTATATTTTTACACGTATTTTTATAAAATTCTGAATATATTAACGCTGTTTGTCATTAACAATTTCTAATAATATTTTAGGTTCCAGAAGCATGTACGTCGTTACACTTTTCTCCGACCGGAGAATTCCTTGCTACAACACATGTGTGTAATCTTGGGGTATACTTATGGTCGAATCGTACACTTTATTCTCATATTTCGCTAAAAGCAATAAATAAGGACGATCCTATTCCTATGATTGGCCTTCCTGGTTCGGTAGTAGAAGTTAGCGATATCGCAGAAGATGAACTTGTCGAATTAGAACCAGAATACGTTTCTCCAGAACAACTTCAGAATGACCTTATAACAATGTCCGGTTTCGCTAATTCGAAATGGCAAAATATACTGAATATAGATATCGTGAGAAAACGAAATAAACCCAGGGAAGCACTTAAAGCACCAGAAAATGCCCCATTCTTCTTGCCAACAATTCCATCATTAGAACTAAAGTTTGATTTCTCGAATGTTAAAAATATGGAAGCTAACAAGAAACTAATCACTCATCCCGATATACAGAACCTCACTATTTTCAGCAAAGCACTATTATCTGTTGAAAATAACGAATTTCACGAGGTTGTCGAAAAATTTAAATACATGAGTCCAAGTTCCATTGATTTTGAAATTCAATCGCTTTCAGCGGATGAAAATACAACACAGACCCTATTGCTTCAATTTATGAAAATGATACATTACATGATGGAGAAGAAAACAGACTTCGAACTTGCGCAAGCGTACCTGTCTGTATTTTTGAAATGGCACGGAACAGAGATAACAAAAAACGAATCTTTAAGAAATTATTTAAGCACGTTACAAGAAGTACAGTCTAAAAATTGGTTTTTGTTAAGAGATAAATTGTTTTATAATCTCAGCGTTGTACAGGCTTTAAAAAAAATGTAAATAAAGTAGGAAATAATAAATTGAATTATTGTTTTATACATTTTAAACTAGACTACGAAACACTTTTTACTTGCATGTTGAAAACAAAGTCGATCGTTGAAAAAATATTCAATTTATTGCAGTATTTTACAAACATGAAGTTTAGTTATGTTATCATATATAGGAAGTACATTCTGCCTTTTAGACTTACACTTACTTTCTCATAAAAGTTCACACACACTAATTAGTGACTCATGAATGTACTTCTAAAAAAAGACTGCAATAAGCACTATAATTTATGTATATAAATATAACAATTATAAAAATAGTCTTAGAATTTTTGTAATACGTTTTGATGCAAAAGAGTATCCTAGACGTAACTATTTCGGAGTATGATAATATATACATTACAGTTTATGAATAGTAAACTAGAAAAGTTATTCCCTGTACGCAAGGAAATTATATAAATGCTCCATTGCTGTCGGTTCTAGTGGCACATCTTCAATGTAATCTTCAAAATTTATAGCTATTCTGTAGAGACTTCGTTTTGTGGCGGCACATAATGATTGAAAGATTTGTTTAATAAATTTTTCATCTCCGTGTTTCTTTGTCATAATGTTTGACTTGTGTAATTTGTCAAGTGTCTGTTTCAATGCAAGTAAAGTATTGATTATAAGTGGTAGATCCTTTTGCACAATTCCATAGGAATCTTCATCTAATGATAGCACAGCTAAGGAAGAAATAGCATCAATGGCCCAAATAATTGATTGTCCATTGAATAAAATGTGGCATACTTTGCCACCTTCAATTTCACCAAAGATGTAAAAAATCAGGGGCTTAGAGAACAAATATGCAAGAAAATCGTTCCATTTCGTTTTTATAAACTTTTGAATGAATAATTCATTCTCAACATCTTTCTTTATCTCATCTTCTTGAGTAGGCACTGCTGTTTCTTCTTTCACTAAACTGCGCATATGGTACACATATTCTCTTCGAACTGTACTGCCTTTTGTTATTGCAGCTGGTATTGGAACACTCATTTGTATTTGTTCCTGAGATCTAATACATGCTTGGTTAAGATCATCTGTAAATGTCTTAACAAAACTAGTACATTTTTCCAGAAGACAATTCCAATTGTAAGGATGACCACCAGGTTGACTCAGTGTAAATAGTATGCCTCTTCTTGACTTTTCTTTTTGTGCCATAGTAACTAAATCCAAATAGCCTAAGTGTTGCATTATTGGAATCTTATCCATAGACAATGCTTCAGGAAGAGTTATCCCAGAGTCATCGTTATTAAATACATTAGTCTGTTTAAACTCAAAGGGAACCCATTCTGTTAAATACAGATCGAATAACAAATACATGCTTTCGATTGTCAATACAAAAATCAAGTGATACAACCATAATTGAAAAATCAATGATACATTCAATAAATTAGGAATGCTACTCAATGGTTCACTTTCCAATTGTGCAGAAGCTAGGAATAATATTATGGAACGGCAGTAGGAACCCAAAAAATAATAGCCACTCAGATAATATAGAACTGGCCATATGCACTTTCCCATTAATGATGGAAGCATTGAACACACTTCTGTCTTAAATCGAAAAATCTTTGACAGAGATATAATAGGAAATTTTAAATAATTCACACGGAAGATGCTAGTCTTTTGGAAGAAATACAATCCACTCCAAAATCCACTTAACAACAGGATATAGTTTTCTTCAATTAAACAAGTTCCATATACTATCTTGCACTCTGTTGTTAAGAAACTGTATGTACCTCTATTGACTGACAAATGCAACCAAACAAGGAGTCCACTACTGATAATATGCAGAGCACATAGTAAGATATTTTGAGATGTGAATATTCCACAAAATTTTGCAAATCTGCTTTTCATGTAGGGTGGAGTATTTGAAAAGCTTTTGCTACAAATAATTCCTTGGAAGAACGTGATGGTAGCAAGAATGCAGAAATAACTCCACATTCGGAGCGAGGTTATCGTTGTCCATGTATTTTGAAACCACGATCCGTAATTTGTGTTTAAATTCATGACTAGAAGCAAAGAAGATATAAGAAAGAATTGTACTATTATACTGGAAATAATGGCTAAAAACATCCTCTGCATTAACAATTCTTTGCATCCCTTCCTAGTCGTCCGCATCATCGTGTTTACTGGTATAGTTAACCTTCACTGCCTTGATTATATATATATATATATATATCTATGTTTCAAAGTTTTAATAAATCAATGCACTAGTGGGTAATTTCTTGCATACGCAGAACGTTACTTAAACTTGTTAATTATCTTTACCACCTTGACTTTTTAATTATACTTAGTTATGGAAGAATTTTAACGAAACACTGGCAGCTTCAAAAAGCCGGTATGTATGCTTATAAATTTTCCGTTAAATTCATTAAACGCGCCATTGGGGCTGTTTCTATAAAAGCGAATATTAAGATTGATATTCAATTTAACTGTAAGTACACTGACATGCAAACTCAGCTTTCGCTAGAGGAAAACGTGGCCTCCTATCACTTGATCTCGGGAGTTACTGAAATGTATACCAAATTAACATTGACTTGAATCTTTATCTCAGTACTTGAAATAAATTTACAAAGTGGTAGGAAGCTCTAGTAGTAGTAGTAGTAGGTACAACGATCTCCCGGGAGGGGGGAAGTGCGATTTCCCCCCCAAGGCCCAGCCGTGGCTCATGGCGCCGGTGGCTATCACACAGCCCCCGCCACGTTAGCAGGGGGGCTGCCGTGGGCATTACCCGGGGCTATTATTTCCCCCAGTTTTCCAACCCGACCAACTTTTTTAGGCCCGGGCCACATGGAGGCGAGGAAGTACTCGCCGGGGGGCGGAGAGTCACTAGGATCGTCCCTTCCCTACCTAAATGAGTGTCTATGGAATATGGTCGTCGGGGCAACCGATCTTTCGTCTCCAAAAGTGAGTACCGGCTCACTCTTTGCTTCACCCACAGACCGAGTCTGTACCAGGGGTGGAATCATCGTGCTTGCGTACGTTCCATCATCGAGAGAGAGCTGTGTCGCCTGTTTCAACCCCCTATCGTACTACCTGCCTATGTCCCGAATATTTCAGGAGCCCCCCCTCCTCTGGTACCCCTCACAAATCTACCACCCCCCTCAAGGACAGGGAGAGAGTCCCGGGACTCCGATAGAGATACATGGGGAGGCCGTTCTAGCCGACCTCAAGGAGAGACGTGGTCGGGTTCGGCGATCACCTCCCCTGGGAGCCGCGGCGGACCATAAATGAATCCACCGCCAATATGAATCTATTCTAAAATCTGTAGCGGGGTATGTGATTTTACAAGAATGGAAAACGAGGTAGAGTAGGTCGCGCCCTCCCCTCACCCTAGATTTTACAAGGAACGCGACGCGAACGGTAGCCCACCGGACTTCGCCGAAGTTTCTCCGAAGAGGAAACATCAGTTTCATCAGGGACCAGCATCCGCGTTCTGGGTTCGCGAATCTCGCCCCTCCCTAATGGTCGACGCCCTCTCTCTCCGGCGTACCACGGATCGTTGCAGCGTGTGCCAAGCGCCTTCGCGACCCGTCGACATATGTGTTCCGGGGTCACGAATGTTTACCGGCACGTGGGGCCTATTTTCGGTAATGCCATACCTTACGTCCGGCGCCTCGTTCGTGAGAACTGCCTTCCGGAATACGATGACCGCGGGGCTCGTTGGGCCGTGGTCCCGCAAAGGCATGCTCTTCATGCTTCCGGGACTCGGTTCGCCAGTATACGCCCCGCTGTCCGGAATCGCATTCGGGCCCCTACGCGTTTTTATCTACTCAAGGCGGCACGTCCAGGCCCCCGAAGGGTTTAATACCTGGAACGGCCATCGCCCCCCTTCCCTCGGGCCCGAATGAGCGCTCCTGGCGTTTGTACCTCTTACCTCTGTTCCGGTGTCCTCTCGTTGAAGATCCATCCGGTCCAGTTGGTGACCACGCGTCCTTAGTCGCTGTCCCGTATGCTACTCGGCATCGGTGTCCTTTGCCCACGGAACGTCGCCACGGGCTGGTGTTTGAATGTGCGCTCGGTGTACGCAAACCCGTGTCAACGTCCGCGATCAGACTCCCCGATGCCTATCTACACCTAGTTCGAGAACGAAGGGGGAATTCAGGCCTATGTGTCCCGTCCTTGAACACATATATCTGCCCACCCCCTCCACGGACGGTCTTCGGGTTCCGGGCCCTCGCCACCCCCGGGCTACTTCCCGGAACCCACCCGGTCCGTTGTTCTCCGCGGATCCTGTGTCTGTCACTGTGATCCCCCCACGCGGGGGTTACTGGTTTTCTATCCCAGTTTTCCCGTCGTCCTGGGACCACAGCGGGGATTGAGAGGCAAAAATACGGCTGGAGTCGATAGGGTTCCCCATCTATCTTTTCCCCCGCGTTGCCTCTTCACGAGTGGTCTTCGGGAAGCACGTCGGCAGGCTTACGCCCCCTGTCTGCTTTTACCCTCCCGACTCGTATCCCAACACCCCGCACGTACGGGTCGGATCCGCGTTTCTACCCTCTTCCTGCCGGGAAACCTGACGCATCCTGTCCCGTCACCCTCGTGAGTTCTCGGTGGGTGAAACCGGGTGCCCTCACGGGTTCAGGGGGGGACTGAGAGGGAGCTTTGTGTCTGGACGAGAGCCACCGATACCTCCCGTCCTGCACCCTCCCTCTTCACGTAAGGACCTCATGGATCGAGCTTCGGGACAAACATTAGTCCCACTCTCTCCATTCCCGTTACGTATCCCTGTTGTGCTATTCTCAGGCTCCCTTGGATCGCTAAAATTCCGGCTAAACGCGTGTACTTGGGTAATTATGGCTTACCCCTTCTCCAGCTCCATTCCTCCCTGTTTGGCCGCTTCCTTTTCCCCCATCCTTCTTCTTCTTTCTCCTGCAGTTGGTAACCTCCCTCCGTTTGCCTTCGGTCCATTGGATTTCTTGAAATCGGCCAGCCACGTCCATGATGATCTTCCGTAGCCTTATTTCCGATGATCGATCCATGATGATCCTCTCCGGTTGCCTCCATCCCCCTTCGATGTCCCTAGTACAGATAACCCCCTGCTTGTAATCTTATTCAACAAAAAGGCCACCCTCTCTTTCGCATCCCATCAGGAGTCGATTCTCCCGACGGGATCCCAGGCGGCACCACGTGGAGGCGAGAGGGTGTGATTTTCGGGGCCTCCAGACTTCTCCGAGCAACGACAACCATCCCGGGGTGGAAGAATCCCCTAAATCTGCCGCCCTAGGAAGCTCTAACCCCTATACCACTTTTTCCCCTAACAGAAGCCGAGTTTGCTCGTGAGGATACATCCAGCCCACCCTATATACATCTACATCGAATAATTCATAGCATATACAGGGTGTAACAAAAATGTCCTCCGACCTGGAAATGGGGCATTCGGGGGGTGAATTGGAACAACTTTTTCCACAGCAACAATGTAATAATGTAATCTGAGGCTTCGTTACCGAGATATTAACGAAAAACCCCGACCAATCAGAGCACGAGTTTGCCAGCCCCCGCCAATAATTATTCTACCAATAAGTTGACTTTCCGCGCTAGCGGTGGCTACGCGCCGCGCTTGTACTACGAAGCTCCGAACAAGTAGGTCAGATGCATCGCAGGAAACTGAAACTATCTGGGATTAGTTTACAAGGTAATGCATAAAATCGCGAAGAAAATAATCAAGATCCAGTCAATGGCGATCAATAGCTCGATAGTTTCAGCGAGTCGTTTGAAGCGACTATTTCAGTCAACTGAATTAGTCGACGATTTAAAAAATTAGTCGACTGAAGTAGTCGTTGGTTACTATCAACTTAGTCGATAGTTTTCAGTCGATAGTTCCTATCACTAGTATCTGCTAGTATCGCCGCGCTTCGCCAGAATGCGCGACTAGTGATGGGCACCATCGACTAAGTCGATAGTAACCAGCGACTACTTTTAGTCGACTAATTTTTTTAATCGTCGACTACTTTAGTCACTTGAAGCGACTAACTTCAGACGAATAATGTTAGTCGCTTGAAGCGACTACCTTCAGACGAATAATGTTAGTCGCTTGAAGCGACTGACTTCAGACGAATAATATTAGTCGCTTGAAGCGACTAACTTCAAACGAATAATATTAGTCGCTTGAAGCGACTGCTTTAGTCGATTAAATTTAGTCGCTTCAAGCGACTCGCTGGAACTATCGAGCTATTGATCGCTATTGACTGGATCTTGATTATTTTTTTCGCAATGCAAACGAATTGTAATTTTTCCATATATTTTTTTATGCATTACCTTGTAAACTAATCGTCTAAATTTCTCCGAAAAAGTCGGATCGTTAATTTTAAAAAGTTTATTTATTTGTTTAGAGTGCACGAATACTTTCGTGCCTCTTTTCTATTAATAAGAAATTTTAAGTATTACTAAGAAAGAAGACGAACCAACTAGAACGTATTATCTCAGAATTCGACTCTGTCACTTGATAATGTAAACATCTAAAACTCTAAACATTACAGGAAGCAGGGGTGGGCTAGTATTACTAACGAAAATAAAAGATTCGTTCTTTAATTCTTTTACGAAGATTTATATATATTATATTTTACTGTTTATTATACATAATATTAATACGTTTATTATTAATATTGATACATTAATATTATGCAATATTAATTGATATTAGTAATATTATTGTAAGAAAAAACGATAAAAATGCAAATAAATAAGTCGTAACTATTTATGTTGAATCGATAATTTTACAAAAAGGTTTCGATGCTCGCCAGCTGAGAAGAACGATTCTTCTGTCCGGAAAAGCCTCTTTCTTTTCGTCAACGTTTGCTTTTCAAGTGCTTGAAGTCCCTTATCGGCAACTGTGGTATCACTATCCAGATGTCCTTCAATCCTTACATCAGAACAATGGGACATTATAGAAGACATAATACCGTTATTGAAACCAATAGAATATGTAACTGTAGAGTTGTGTGCTGAGAAATATTCTACAGCTTCAAAAATCATGCCATTAATAAGAAGAATTGAAAACGCCATCCAAAATATTACATCTGTGACAATGCCTGGCTTTGCAGTAAAAAATAACCTGTTAAACAATATTGATATTAGATTTGAATACATAGAAACAAATAAAATTACATCAACAGCTACAATAATAGACCCTAGATTTAAAACAGCAATTTTTCAAAGCGAAGGAAATGCACAAAGAGCAATAGAAACTTTAACATCAGAACTTCAGAATTTACTAACCAACGTGCAAATTCATGAGAATAGACGTACAAACCCAGAAGAAGAAGAACCACTTAATCAGGATGCAGGATTTTGGAATTTTTCTGTTGATAAAGTTTCCCATCTAACTAGACAGTGCTCTACACCTTTAGAAACCGCAACAAACATAACAAGGCAATATTTAGATCTGCCTTACGAAAGTATTAAAAGTGATCCCATTGCATTTTAGAATACACATGGCCACACAATGCCTGAACTAAAAAAAATTAATGAAAAATATTTATGTACACCTGCAAGATCTGTTCTATCAGAACAGATATTTTCCAAAGTTGGACAGATTATGTCAGAAAGAAGAAATAGATTATCGTCAAAAAATTTAGATCAACTCATTTTTTGAAATTGTAATATGGAATAACATAGGTCAAAATAGCAGGTAATTATATAATATTTTTTTAGATGATATTCTTTTATTTTTCAATTCCTAATGAAGCAATATTTATATCTGTCCTAGGAGAAAGAAGAAATGACAACATTAACTATCGAATAAAATTTGGTATGTATAAAAAATTAAACAATCCCATAATTTTAAATACCTGCTATTGTGACAACACTTATTTGATTTTAAAGAATTTTTCCAAGAACTGTGCAAATTATTGCTTATAACCTAATTGATTTTCACAAAAAATGTAGAGCAGTTAATTTTTTAAGTGCCAATATCAAATAGCTTACGAAAAATCGAATATTAGTAATTGTTTAAAAAAACTTGTTTACCACTTATATTTTTTCTTAATAAATTTCCAAAAGGTAAATACACCAATGGTGTCGTGAAAATTTGACGATATAATCTATACATAACCACTAAAGCATAATTTCAGTCGACTAAATAGTCGATAGTATATTGCGACTAAATAGTCGTTAGTCGATAGTTTTATTTAGTCGATGGTGCCCATCACTATGCGCGACAGCCTTTAGAATTGTGTTTCGCCCTATTGCTAACTGGAATGAATAACATATACATATTCAAAATAGTTTACAGGAAAAAGCAAACACATACCAGTATTTTCTTAACTTACATAATCATCGACAAAATATATATGTATTATTTCATTGCATCTATCTGTATATGAAAAAATTATAGTGGCGCATATTTTTAATGTTTACAAAATTTACTGTCAAATTAAACCACTCTTACTACCTCCGGTAGTGTTTCTATGAGTGATCGCTACACAAGATATGAAAATCGTGACTTCCGTCTGTAAATGGATAACTGAGAAGTCGATCTAAATGAAGGTCCTCTGTCGATAACTGAGACGACTAAGATCACGGTGCACACTGGTGCACACAGAACCTAGCATTATCATGAAATTAATTTTAATTATTTAAAAACACAGGATAAAATAATATTATTTATTTTATTTCTTGGTGTTTACTAAACTAAGTAAGTTTAATGTGTCGTGTTTTATTTATGAAAATTATCGTCATTGCTTTTATTATTATTTATAGTTATGTGAATGTAATGTTATAGTTTGCCAAGAATGTTACAATTTAGTACAACTATTTGGACTATAAGTGCCAGATCTGTGCCACGATTATGTTGGCGATTTACAGCATTGCTTTCATCAGGTTCGGCATCTGTTGCTCCAGAACCTAGTGCCATAGATGTTAAGGTATAATTCATTACTTTATGAATCTGTGCTAGCAATTATTCTCAGCTTCTAAATATTGGTGTTGTTTTAAAAAGTAATATTGTTCCATCAATAAAGAAAGATTTATTTATTGAAGCAAAATCTGGAGTCACCGTCACATAAGATGAATAAAGAACAACTTGTAAAATTTAACGAACTCAAAACAACATTGTATAATACATTAAAAACACAGAGCATAATTGCTCCTAAAGTTCAAAGAGCTGAGACTATACAGGACTTATTGAATCTTATGAAGATGCCACATTTGTCTCGATCTGATATTTTAAATGTTATGCAAACTATCATACAATGGATAAATAAAAGTGAGAATTCATCTTTTATTCAAAGTAACAAATTTATTCTTAAAGAAGGAATAAATGAAGCAATATCAACCAATAACATTGAAGCACCTGAAGTAACTGATTTTTCTAGATATACTAAGCTTTCAACATCTTCAATGATCAAGGTAGGTAAGCCAAGAATATTTCTGTTCATGTATCTTACTAATACATGTACATTTTATTTGATGTAGGAGGTATTACAGTTAGCAAAATCTAAAAGTAGAAAGCCGAAAGAATTGAAATTCTTATGTGATAATATTACTGATTATAAAGAGAAATTAAGTGTTGGAGAATGTTCAACATTGATGTACTCTATGTGTGCTTTAAATTATTGTGATGAGGTAAGATGAAGATAGGTCTATACTTACATAAAAGAATAAATGTATTGAAGAATACACTTTCAAAATGAAATATATTACAGAGGTTGCTTGCAAAGATTAGTTCCAATCTCATGAATACTGTCTGTACAGTAAAATCTGGTGCAGTAAGATCTATATTAAAATCTATGGCAGTAATTAAGTATAAAAATAACAACCTTTTAGCGTTTATATGTAATGTTATGATGCATAGCAAAGAGAAGATAGAGCCAGCACATATTGTAAACATTATATACTCATTTGCAACATTAGGGTTTGATTCGGATCACACAAGTGCAGTTATAGAGGTATGTACAAGTAGGAATTAATTTATGAAAAGATCTCAAATGTATTTATAGTTTTGTTATCTTAGTGCATAGTGATTGATTGAATTATCTTCAAAACTGGTATAGCTGCAAAATGATTTTTGTTACAGAAAATATTCCATACAGACTTAGCAGTGAACATAATTGTTTTATGAGCATAAGCATCAAGGATGTTAGAATCGCAATATAATTTGTTTAAATGAAGCCCTGCAGTTTTGTCCTTAGATTTTCAATAAGATTTTTAGAACATGTTCAACAATTTATAACTAAAGGTCATTCAAAATAGGTGAGGAGTAATCAAGTTCAAGACATAAAACAACCACTGATTTGTTATGAGAAGTAATACAGAGTACCACTTATAAAGTATCATTCATAATGATCGTTCTTTTTCACAAATATCAATCTGTGTTAAATTAAAGACAAAAGCTTCAAATATATGTTGAAATAATAAATGTAAGCAATATGATTTGACAATCACAGCGCCTTATACAGGGTGTTACATGATGAAACCCACAAACTTCTCTAACATATTTGGCAGATCATTTTATGCCAAAAAAGATCATATATTTTACAGGTTTATCTTAAGTTGTTAAAAAGTTATAGCAAAAGAAAAATACTGCTGGTAAGTTTCTGTGATTTGTGATTACCTTTATGTATTGTGCATTTTTTTAAAATGATTATTCTATTTCCATCTAAAGATTTATTCTACCAATAAGTTGAATAGATCGTATACACTATGTAACTATTACTATTCATTATCGAGATGAATATTATTTACGCTTGGTATCACATGAGATAGTATAACTCTCCACAAAGATTGGAATTTGATTGGAATTCGTTTAAGAGTTTCAATATAAGAAAAAGCATAAAAGTAAAGCAACACGAAACCATGAAACATACGAAAAATTCAAGAAACTGTTCCTTGTAAGATTGTGCCTGTTTTATTGTTTTTGGTGTATCTTTTGAACAAATTGAAATATACCCTCAGTGTATATGATATTCGTGGTTTAAAATGATTTACAAAATACGATAAATACGGTTGTCGCTTTTATCACAGAACACCCTGTATTTCAACTATAATTGACCTTACGTTATAGATCTCATAACACTATCCAGATATACAAGTAAAAGTATAGAAATTTTTAAAATTCACCTTTAGATATTGTTAATAGTTCCAGCTACAAATTTTTTCGTCTGTATAGAATATTTTTCATATAAACACTATTATGTGATTATTCAAATTGTGGAAATAGTTTAATTTCTGTATACTTTATTAAAGAAAAGTGCTTTTCATTTTCTTATAACTAGAAATACGAGAAAGAATTAACACAGGATTCAGTCACAGCTGATGATTGGTTACACTATGTTTGGTCTTTAGTTATACTGAACAAGGTAAAACATTCATTTCTCGAATCTGTACTATGCGATAAATTCATTATGAAAATGTTTTCTAAAGGTAAGACTTCCAGATTATTACAGAGTATTACTTACATATCAATAATAGGTTAATATTCCACTTTTTTTGTAGATTCAAGTAAACATGTAACAAGAAAATTGAAATTATTAAATATCAGTGGTGCAGCGAAATTTTCGTCGGACTATAATGGTAGACCATACTTAACAAATATTAAATGCTGAAAGAAAAATAGGAATAAATTGTGTACATTTAAAAAAAAATTATTCTTAGGGCCATTACTTGATAACAATGCAGTGGTGAAGGATATAGTAGTTCCACTTTCAAAACAAAAAGTATTATATGTCAAGGCATTAGAAGAAACATTAAAGTCCTTAGCACCTTCTCCATCTTCACTATGCTATAGGATAAATGTAAATACGAAAATGGGCTTCTTTTTGGGTATGTAGGACATTTTATGATATATATTTTATTAAAAAGATACATAATTATGGGTAAATAATATTTTAGATGCTGAGTGCTTTGTAAATTCTAAATCAAAACTTGTTAGCACAACTGACACAACAGTCAATAACATAGATAAGTAAGTGCTAAACAAAAGTTAGGAACAACGATTATATGTTAGTTTTACTTTGAAGTAATTGTACATTAAATGTGTCATTGTCCCAAATTTCAGAGTAGCCATAATAATACATGACTATTTCTCCTACTGTTATGGATCCAATGAACTCCACGGAATATATAAACTGTATAACAGATTATTAGAGAACAGTGGGTATAAAGTTCTACAGATTTCTTATCAACACTTCGGCTTAGAAGACAAACTTGTTAAGCGTGAACAGTTCTTAGAAATGAGTATTCAGTCATTAAAATAAATATGATTTAGTATCATGTAATACTTGATAAATAAAAAGTGTACAAAGTGTTCACATTTCTAATTAATATTTATTTATCTTTTTTAAATTACATAGGAACAATTATTGTTGTAGGACAATAGTTGCATATATTACATTTACAAATATGTACTTGTATTTATAATATGATGCGAGTCATATATTTTAAAGACACCTTGTAAATTCATTGTTCTGTATTCTTGGAATAAATTTTTACTATTTATAGCTGTCTATATGAATATTACATAAGTATTCTTACCATGTTCGTTTTGAATACTATACATAAGTACTGTAATAACTGTGTTGTATTTCCATACATTCTTTATGTACCTTAACGTGTCAAATGAATTTCAAAATTTTGAAAGTTCCATTTTAAGATTCGTCTAAGTTTCTAAAAATAATTATACTTACGCATGTGCGTAATAATTATACTTATACCATGTGCTTCTTATAAGTACAATACAAGCCCTTCACATGTATAACACTTGTGTAGTACGTACGTTTCCATTCACGCCATCTATATAATCGAAGCATTAATCACACCTTCACCTGCCTTCACCAAAGGCGGAATAGAGTTTGCATATTGTGATTTCGTCAAAGGTGTTGTGGTTAATTTTGTGATTACTTTATCAAAAGTAATTTACGCAAAAATGGTAAATTTTCCTTTTCATGTGATTAGATTTAAACGGTGATTATAGTATTGATGTTTTAAATGAAATAGAAATTAAATTTTACGAAAGTGTTCAAATTCTTTTAGATGCAATTTATGTTATTGTTCAGTCGTCAAGGAAAGTTACGATTACAAAAGTGGTATGTGGCACACCCTGATAAATTAAAAAAAAAAATTACAAGAGAATTGATTACAACGATATTAGCACGAAAACCAAAAATGTCAAGTTTCCTAGAATGGAAGGATGTTAAGGTTGTCTATAAAAGGTATTTCATAATTTTATAATATTTTATTACTCAACCTACAATTTCATTTGCCTATTAAATTATTATAAAATTTCTTTTCTCATTAAGAAACATTAATAATTTTATTCTAGATATGCAAGTTTATATTTCTGTTGCGCAATAGAACAAAACGATAATGAATTACTCACCTTAGAAATTATACACCGTTATGTTGAATTATTGGATAAATATTTTGGAAGTGTAAGTATAAAATTGCTTACTTACTTATGATGAAGTAATTAATTAATTGTGAGTGCGAATAATTACAATAATTATTCAGTACATACACTGATTAAAATGGAGGTTAAATTGTGCTTTTCATATCTATCTTGCAAACATTGTTCTTAATAATCATATTGTTTTCTATGTGTTATTAGGTATGCGAGTTAGATATAATTTTCAATTTTGAAAAAGCATACTTTATCTTAGATGAACTATTGGTTGGTGGTGAAATTCAGGAGACTAGCAAAAAGAATGTGTTAAAAGCCATTGCAGCTCAGGATTTACTACAGGAGGTTAGTTATGGGGATGTACCCATTGAGTTGTGACTTGTTTATTTTTTCTAACGACTTCATGATTTTCATTTATTACTTTTTAGTAATACACATGAATCGTTTTAACTTTTAAGATATAAATTTTATTGACTTCCAATTATAGGAATGTCAGTAATTTTATAGTTTTTATTGCATTTGCATAATGTTTATTGTATATTACTTGTACCTGCAAGTCTGTTAGAACGATTCCCATAATAAGTTTAACTTTCAATAGTTGGTGTGTAATGTCCTTATCAAAGTAATTGAATCAACACTGTTCAAGAGGTACATATAAAAAATACAAAAACCCCTTGTATGATTTGTATATGTAGCATGTTTGTGGCCTATTTATTCTGGGTAGAATAATGCGGTATCAAGTGTGTAAAGAAAAGTGTCCTTTATATCAATCCATTTCATTTAACTTCACACATAATCAGTAATCTATTATTTATCAGAAAGGGAGGACTATTTGATGATTATAAATGAAACATTTACAGTAGTAGTTAATGGACTATTTAAAAAAGTAATACTGAAGGAGAAATAATATTATAAAGAAATTATTTTTATGATATAACAATGGCCACCGCATTATTTGAGTGCCTGGCAAAAATGGGTTGTAATGATACTTTGTTTATTAACAGTGTAATTATCTAAATTGCATGATTTGAATGTATCTCTTTTAAGTTATAATTTTGTAACAGCAATGTGTTATAGTTCTTTTTTTAAGTGGTCCTTTTCAATTTTATCTATTATATGTATTGTTGTTATATTTTCACAACATTTTTGTTTTCTTACGTAGTTTTGTTTTAATGTGTCTAAAATTTGTTTTAATATTTAACATTGTTACATATGAGGATTACTATTGTAATGCTTGATTTGGAAATCTATAATACATATTCTGTTATAAATAATATGTATATAGAGTGGTTAGTAATATTTTTAACTATTACTAGGCATAACTATGATTTATTTTTCTTTCGACATAATAAGATCGTGAAACCGTTATTAATATATTATTCATATATAATTAGATAAAATATTGTGTAGTCAGGAAAGCATGAAAAGTGACTGCTCATTCTTTCCAGTGATATTAAATGTAATATCCATACAAATAAAAGAATGTAGATATAATCTATATTTAATATATTGTAAATTGTAATTTTTTCTTGTAGCTAATGCTGTGTGCATAGAATGCTTATATGCTTATTCTTTTATTAATGTAAGTGGGCTTAAATGTGTTGTGAACTTTTATTTATGATGTTGTATGCAACAGCATATCTGTAGTAACAAAATTAAGTCTATACAAAATTGTTGCCATATTCTATTAATTTTGAATATTGTCATATCACACTGTGTTCAATATCACGACCTAGTTTACCAATTTGATAACAATGTAAAACTATTTCCACTTCAAAGTTCCTTCACAATTTAGGTGATTTAAACACAATAATTAATTGTGTATTTATTATATATTTTTCTAAGGAGTAAACTTTATGATGCGAGCTTATAACATTTTATAGTTATGATAAAAGCATTAAACTTCTTGGAATCTGTATACAACAAACGTGATGTATAGTATTGCTGATAATATTTACATTGCATAATATTAGTAACAAAGTTACTTTCTTATTTTCTTATTGTGCGCATATTCTAAAAGTAGATATTCCATTTTGCCAGTTTTTTATTATAATGTATATAATGGGAATATGTTTTATTTATCTATAGTATTTCACATGAAAAAATGTTTACATTCTGTGTTCCTTATATACATTAAACTATGGACATCATTAGCACATATAGCATAAATTATACAACCTCTAAGATAAGTAAATTTGCCAATACCAGTTCCTCTTATAAGTTTTTGCAACATTTTAAAATTATTTACATTATGTTTGCCATCATAGTTACACTTATTTTAAAGGATTGTATTTTACGATTTCAAATACCTTGAAAATATCTTATAACATAAAGGTTGGATGAGAAATACAAAAGTTCATATTACCAGTTTGATTTTATATAATATTCATAATGAGTATAATTTTATTATTATGTCCACTATTTGTGTCTATAACTTGTTAAAGTAATGGTTACTCACACTTGTAAGATGTATTACAATAACTTTTAATGTATACCAGTTAGATAGTTTAATAGCAGTATTCCTAAAATGTTTATAACTCAATACGAGGTATGAGAATAAAGTTTTGACAACATTTCATTTAAAAATTTTATTTTGAAAGTTGAACAGATAAAGGCCGTCACGTTCAAAATAGTCCCTTTGAGACTGTACATACACATGCATTTCAATGCCAGGGATCAAATAATCGTAACAGTTCTAGTAGTCACTTTCTGGGTGTCTATTTTAATTCTGGTATGTATGTCATAATAGTGGTGTGAGTATGTGATACTAGGTGTGAGAATAAAATTACAAGAATAATTTTATTTCTGTGAAAGTTACAACAATGTAAATAGTTACGTCCACTTTGACGGAAACAAAATTATTCTCGAAACTTCGTCACACTTCATATTATAATGCAGGTATTATGACAGATACCAATTTGTTACGATCAATGGATTTCCGACGCTGAAATGTATGTATACAGTCTCCAGGGGACTGCTTTAAAGGCGGTGGCTTGACATCTGTGTAATTTCCAAAGTAAAATTTTTAAATGAATTATTCTCGAAACTTTACTGTAACACCGCGTATGTCTAGTCACTGAAGATTTTATTTACTTCAGTTTTTTTAGAACACAGTACAATATTTTCTGATAGTGGAAAAGATATATTAATTAGTTCCTTTGTAATTTCAATTAAATAAAAATCTAATTCTTTTATATTGTCACAAATGGAAAAGCAGATAAAATGCTTGTTCTTTTGCGGTGATATTATTTGATCATCAGTTTTATTTTATTAAAAATTACGTTGAAAAAGTGTAATGCTATGGAAATGCTGTTGTTTATAGGTAGTTTTTGAGGTGTATGTATATATTTTAATGTTATAATAAATATTAATCATTGTCAATTATTTTGATGGTATAATTTTTATATAATGTTATTGATCATGATCCATAGAATAATTTTGCACAATATTTATAAGTTTTTATGATTCAAAAGTACGCTTGTATATCTCTTATTCTTTACGCATAATTTAATCGCATGAAAGTTATCTTTCTGTAAATTTAGAAAATTCACTTGTCTTGTGTTTATAAGACATTATTATAGAAAGTATATAAAAAAACAAAGAATACTTTTAATTGTAGGCATTTTTACACAAAGTCACACTTTGTTTTATAAATATAATAAATTATTATATATGTGTAATAATACTGAAATTGCATTCAGATGATGTTCAATGTTTGTCAGAACATCTTGTAATATTTTATGATTATTTATTTTTGAAATATATAGAGAGTATATTTAGCTTATATCTGTGTTAAATTATTATACTACATAACATGCTTCCAATTAGGCAAAATAATTACTCTCATTACTTGATACAAGTATTATATCTTGTCACAGTAGTTTCTATTGAATACAAGTTATCAACTTTTTCTGTATTATGCAAGGCTACTTTAAAATTTTTTTTCCATATTAAATTCAAGGGAGTATTTTAAATCTTTAATAATATTTATAGCTCGAATTGTATCATAAGGTATAAATATGAGTATAAGTTTTAAATGACTCTTTTGGTTAACTCCAAAGAACAATTGTTGATTAGAAAAAAGATTCTAATTTTTACTAATTAAAAAAGGAAAACCTATTGCAAAAAAAATGTGTGTACAATGTAGTACTATTACCACTTTTATTTACTTAATTTTATTCTAGTGTCAGTTCACACGTGATAACAAGGTATCTTGCATTATAAATGATTAATGCAACTTTTAATTCATGGAATGTAATGCTGCTTTGTAATCGATACTGTAAAATTTAATAGTAAGAGTTAGTTCAACATTATTGTTCCATAACTAAGGACACATCCAGAAATACACTAAAGATTAGCTAGAATATTTGTTTGTTTGTGGAAGGATGAAGCTGTGGAAGGTGCCCTGCGGGAGATAGGGCTTTTGTAGGTGCTGCATTCTTGCATGCCCTTCATGGCCAATGCGACAGCCCACATGAATCAAGATCCGGAGCAGGCTCACCCACTGCATGATGCCATCATACATCTCTACTTTTTCTATAGTTATTGAGCATCAATTTTTTATTTATCATTGACAACCCTAACAAATCTAGTATACAAACCAGTATATTTTTATATAGGCAATTGCTATGAGACATATATACAAAATATATACAAATATATATATAATATATATGTATATATATAATATATAGCTTATAGACACTCCTGTTAGTAGCAAGACTATTTCTCATTTTATCATTTAGCAGATAATAGTTACAATGTAGTTTAGTGCCGTACTGTGGCAATAAAGTTATGTGTATTTAGAAAGCCATTATTTCTGTGTGTGTACATATATATATAACACACAGAAATATTTAAATAGTGTTTACATAATTTTGCATTACGTAAGAAGTTATTTTCTCACATTTTGTATAGTTCTCTTCATATTTGTATACTTGAAACTATTTATTCTAGTATTTAATTAGAGGACACTTAAACGAATCACTTTTTGTATATGTGTATGTGTATATACATAAGCGGTGTCAATTTTTAATGTTAAAATTCTAACACGGTATAATAATACCCATAATAAATGTATACAAAGGAATTCTTACATAATCGTATATTCGCATTATATAATACCTTTTCCATGTAATTAACCCATTTTATGTATTTACTTCTATAATATCTGTGTTTTCAGGTTTTAATATGGTATTTTTTTTCAACTGTTTCTATCTTAAATAAACACACAACTAGGACTATTACTTGTTTAATGTTTGTTAGGAAGGTATTTCATTAAAGTTGGTCAAGTTTATGACACGAACACCCATTTAACAATAAGCGCAGAAACATTCTGTGCGTAGCATGCAACACAGATATTTCTTTGATTGATGCTTAAGCATTTCAAATGAGGCAATAAATGAATATGTGCTTTGTGCAGCTTTGTGTAACCATACAAGTATATACTGTTATATGAAAAGGGTTCAGTTCACCATTTGAAGCTGCATCAAGGAGATTACTTAATTACGAAGTAGGTATGTGTACACTTATATACATATTTTCATTATTGTATTTTTGAATTATATGAGAAAGTGCAGCATCAAAGAAATTGATCCCTCTTCATATACTTAAATGTATTGTTTTACTATGTATTTTAATTTAACAATTTGGATTATGTGTTTCAGGAGGAGACTCCACAAGGATTCTTTGAGGACCATGGTCTGGGATAATATTTTCTAGACAATTTATCAAACTTGACGTAAGTGGACTTACAATGACGCTCCAACATTCCAGACTTTTATTTACTATAAGTTATGTTTATTACAGTTAAGAGTATAGTACTGCAAAAATCCTAATTAATCAAAATTAATTTTTTCATTTACATTTCCGCCTATAATTAACAAATACAATTTATATGTAATTATAAATTCCTTCATTAACTCATTGAAATTTGTTTTTGAAATAATAGCAGTACTATGCAGCCTATATACATACGATATTCCATAGAAATATATTATTTAACCCTCTATAATTCATTATACCAATGAGTTTACTGTTAGTAATTTTACTATTTATTATTTATTCTTATGTAGTTTAATCCTTAGTTGTAGCAACTATTGATTACCGTTTTCCTAATGTTCTTGTGTGATATTACAGTAATCAGTAAAGATAAAGTCATTTAACATTCAAGAAACTAAAAATTTATTCATTTCGTTTAATTCGTTCATCATCTTTAAAATATTATCACTGTTACTTTTGCTATGTGAGGGTTAAACTATCTGTGAAATGTTAGAATTTGTATGTGTTACTTCAGTGTTAATATATTGTATTTCATTCAGAATTATGTTACTATAATGCAATATAATTTTCAAGTGGAACAAACTTTCATTTTTTTTAAAAAGAATTAATTTAATTATTATTTTGATTGTTACTTCTTCTGGACATATATAATATTACTTTTTCTTGAAAGATTTTTGTAATGTACATTTATACAAAAATCACCTGTCATTGATTAAGGGAACAATCAGAAGTTTGAATTTAACTTGATGATTTTTGTCTATGTGGATAAAGGCTTCAAATCTTCTAAGAACATAATTATTGTTTCACGCTATAAGTACGATTAAAAATACTAAAGTTAACATGTAGAGGGTCAAATAATGAATTTTCAACAATACTGTAACATTATATCTATGTTTTTTATGAGGTGCTTATCTGATCTTCATTTATTCAATTCCTTTGTGAAACCAAACTATACATAAATACAATATGATTTTGTCGTGCTTTATTATTTCTTAATCGGTAGTTATACTTTTATGTCTAATGTATAAAAATATAGTTGCTAACTTGAATGTTAGTATTTTGAAACATATTGCTCGACAACAGCACCGACATTCAAATACAAACACAATTAAAATTGAAAAAATTCTGTACTGTTCTTTCAAGAACGGTGCGTTAAAATAATAAAAATGCACGAAATGTATTTACAAATACATAGAAACAATTGAATTATTTGAAAACTAATTAACATTTAAAACATTTCATTTTTTTATGCCTCATACTTACTTGACAATTACTGGAATATTGAATAACAGAAGGGAACTGTAAAGAAATCTTTATTAGTAAAAAAAATTTTTTTTAATTATATGTTAATGATTCAGGAAAAAGAATTGAGTCTTCAGAAAAGAGTTATAATTTCATAGTTAATAAAATACTGGAGTAATTATGTTAATGTAACAGTAATAATGCCAATTTTCAAATCATACTTAATTCTATTACATCATAATTATTTCTATATACAGTTAATTATATCAATATCATCAGTCTGTAATTAAATCATACTAATTATATATAATGGAATGAAGTTTACAAATACTTTTTAGAAAAATCTGCAATGCAGTGTGAGAATATTATATTACATTTGACAATGAATTGAAAGGTAAACAAAATAGAAATTTTTCAAACAGCAGTTTCTTGATTTTATTATTACATGAACACAATTATTCTGTTACATGCATTGTTTGGTTCATTTACGTTTAGCTGTTGCTTGTTGTTATACATGAAAGTTGTTCTATATGAAAAAGAAAAAGGAATTGTGCAGATCGGACTGAATTATTTTAATCTTATTAATATAGATTCCAAAATCATCTGAGTCCCTTCAATCAAATTTATCATTATTAATCATTTCTTTTTTGTGCATAAACTTATTAGGAATATAATAGATTATAATGATACTGATGAATTAAATTAATTTACAAACCATTGGTGAAACTGTTATTTAAGATGATCGCATAAAACAATTTCTTTTACATTGTGTTTGTATGATTTATTTTGTCTATTTTTGAGTTACTATTCCAGTTTACTTTTTCAAACAACACATACCTATTTGTATAAAAGTTTTCTCATATCTTTCATAATATAGACTGATAAAATATGCAAGATGTAATTGGACTATATAGGTTCTTCAGAAACATATATGTGTTTAAATATTATTCACATGATTGCACACACTGTATACTGATTAATATTTTGAAGATTTTCTTCTACAATAACTAACATAAAAGTTGGAACAGTGCCATCTAATTATTTCAGTTTTCATCTTAAACACAGTTATAACATCATTAAATTACAACGAACAAATTAAAAAATATCTGAAACTGTTAGCTGTATTTCTGTGAATGAGTTTTGTTATTTTTTTTAATTTCTAACATAAAATATATCTACAGTTTATTTACATCATGCATATATTTAAATCGTGTGTAATGTATAAGCGGTATTAAATTTTGGACACGCTCGGCTATAAGAAAAATAGTTGAAAATATGCCGAATATTTGTACCCTGAGAAAGATAGTGGTGTAAATTAATTTTACTTGCTCCAACCAATCTTACGTATTGACTTAACCTGAAGCACTCTCATTCTCAGTGACTCGGTTGCGATAGTACTCGCCAAATGATTGCGCAATGTTTCATTTAATCGTTTTCTGTATTGAAGATTACCGATGATATCGATTTCGTTGAAATATTCATCACCAAGTTAGTTACGGAAATGTTCATGTTCCTGTTAATTGTCATTACCATAGCGAGGTATTTTTGCAACTTTTGATCGCGCTGATCATTGCTATGCGTTGCGGCGAAATAACGAAATCGATATTATGTATTAGGAGAAATTCACAGGAGGACAATAAGTTTAAAAGTGAAAAAAAAAAATATTATTCGTTGAATGTTCATATAGTGTTGATACAAGCTGATACGAGAGCGCGTGTTATACATATCTGAAAATATATATATATATATATTCGCTGTCCACTCATTTTCAGGCTGTTTTGTGAGAAATATCTTTTCAATTAGAGATACATACTTGTTTCAACGTCTGATTAAACAATTTGGTTTTGGCCTCAATAAGGCAGAAAAGCCTTGTATGTAAGCTTTTCTTGTACGATGACATTCCTTTCGCTTCCAAAGTTACGAGCTCAAGCGTTAACTGTTGAACTTAAGAACTGACGATTGGAAAGCCTTGTACTAATAATAGATTTTAAAAGTACGTTTTTAAAGTCTGAGGAAATTTTCAGTATTGCGTAAAATATCCGGGCGATATGCACTACACATGGATTAATAAGACGTCAGTTTGCAATTATTTGTTCGTTTAAAAATACGTTTCTTCAAATTGACGCAAGAAACAACGGGAAGTACAGATCAACGATTGTTATTTGTGTAATCTCGAAATCACGACGAACCATATTGCCTGGATAATTTCGTTTTTAATTTTAATTTGTGACGCGTGAACGTTGACACACGGACTCACCAAACGGAATATAGTTTTTAGGGACAAAGAGAAAGATGGCTATGTTTAGTTGAAGTATCACGTTTTAATTTACTTTTAAATATTTAGTAATGGTGCATTCAAAGCGTAACTGTTGCATTATCTTCTGCACTTTAAATACTTTCGTGTACGGTATAGTTTTCGGTACTTGCAACTCTCAGACAATTGTTCGTTCAGCGTGCAGTTGCACGCAGTACCATTGAAGTGTCTCGTGGACGACGCTAAATGCAGTTCCGTCACGCAATCAAAATTAGCAATTAAGTGTGCGAATTTGTTAGAGTCTGCGGTATAGCTTGTTATCAAACAGAATTAAGAACACTACCAATGTTAAGCGTATGAACGTATAATACGATAAGTATATGAATGTTGTATTGAAGACGATGCTTCGTGCTCCGTCCATAATAAACCATGTAATGCAAAAATAATATACTTTTTTTCTATGAAATTCTCTGTGTATGAAATGTAAAATTTTAGCGTGTCGTTACAGGATCGATGTAAGTACAATTTTCATCACTATTCAATTGTTCCGTTCTAAATAGGAAACAAAATTTTGTTTACTAAAATGATACTTTAATAGATAATTTCTAATATAGTTACGTATTTTAGAATATTTTTCAATAAGGAAAGATACAATTATATATAAAACATTAATTAGCACATTGGATGTTAAGTGATTTTCGTATGTTTCAGCCACAGCGTCGCAGTGAAATCTTCGCTATATGGAATAGGTATAGTACGTATAGAGTATAGAAGAATAAAATATTAACATGAAATTATCGAATCGGGCTACGTTATCATTAGACTGCGGATTCTTATGCATTTATAGAATATGCGATAGTTTGAAATTTAGTGTAGTAAAAAGTTTCAAAATATTTTTCACGTTTTCTTTTTATTTCGAACCTACTAGAATCCTTAATAGGGTAAATCAATTTTTCTCTGCGTCTACTTTCGAGAAATTATTCCATGCAATTCTATGTTTGCATAAACATCCGCAGTCTTATCATATCTTGCACATGCACTTCGTGGATGGTTACCGATTTATGTTACAATATCAGTAGTATCTAAAAGTAACAAATATTACAGATTACTCGAAGTGTTTTAATTAATGTTAATAGTCATCGACGAACACCCCCATGGCGTTATCAGAAAGTCGAGCGCCGGACATCGATGTCCCCCACGGCAGTTAATGAGTTTATTCTATGGAGTAAGATTTTTGTAGAACTCTTGTAGATACTTGTAGTAACTCTGGAAACTTCGTTTTCCAGAAACGAAGAAGAGCTTGAAAATAAGTTGATTCATCGTTTGAATTCAACTGTATCCTCTGATAACTTGTAGTTTTCTTATTTATTTATTCAAAGATTTTTACATTCGATTGTTCCACCACTAACATTCGATGTGCATGTTAGTGGTGGAAACACCACCGAGTTAACAGGTTATAATGTTATACTGTCGCATAGCAACGACTTTCATTTGTTATTAAATGTAC